TCTCTTTAGAATTTATTGGTTTTACAGCACACAAAAAAGTGGATTAGGAAATTGATTTTGGAAATGAATAAGAAATTTGGGTAGTAAACATTTTTGGTGATGAATCTCATCTTCATCACGAATTTTTTTTGCTGTAGATCATGTTTGTTTATACATACAGTATCATCTATTATATAGTAGGAAAATATCAAAAAATTGATGTTGTTATCGATTTTTTTTATAAGTCGTCCGCCGTGTCCTTTAATAAGGGACAGCATGAAGAAAATCAACCAGTCAGCTTAAAGCTTTTTTTATATTTCGCTTACTAAACCTTTATTTATTTCTAAATCTTGTGTATAAATAGGAGTAAAAAAATACAATTTCTAAATTTTAAATAGAAACGGAGTTTTTTTTTCATAAACTTTTTAAAACTGTTTATTCCGTCGAAAAATTACGAATACAAATATCTAAATACAAAAACAAAAAAGTAGCACGGATCTGCTGATAATAACTAAATTAGAATTACATTTGCCTAGGCTTCAATCCGAAGTTTGATCATAAAAATGTTCTGTCCTTATAAGAAACAAGCCAAAAGAATGTCTTCGAGGTGAATGATTCTCTTTAAACGACTGCACCCTTACATTCTTTCATTATTCACAAAAAATCCATGTCGATGTCGCCTTCGTAGCTTCAAGCAAAAACTTAAGATTCAGAAACAGAATATAGAGCTTATAGCAATTTAACCATCATGAATTTCAATGCTACAGCATTGATGTTTCATCTAAACTGGAAATCTAATCATAAATTATCATATCTTAATATCTACTTACCTTTTGTCTTCAAACAATTTCCCAACGATAATGAAGCCGATTTAGCGATTCGGTGATACACCAATAATCATTAAACATTTACAATACACGACAAATTTCTTTAGAGCAAACATGTTTAGGCATACTTTATGAGTATTGTGCTCCTACGAAATTGTACACCAATAATGTACAGCAATAATGTTAAAAAGCAAGCGTTCAATATTAATCTTGCAGCATGTGCTTCCATCTGTTCCGTTGATATGTCCATTGCAATTCAATTTTAGTAAAATATTTCTCAACTAATAAAGGAGAATTTTACAAAAATTATCTACGATATATAACTTTTATAGTTTTTACATTTTCTCAATCGTGAAGAAATGATGAAATGTTACAAGTATAGAAAAATTTTCTGTCCTCTATTCAAAATTCGTTACCGATATTGGTTTCTGCGACCCCCCGCCCTCCTCCAACAAAAAAAATGACAGCGCGCCATTGCACCATATGCTTGCCCTAGTGATGAATGATAACTTGTACAATAAACGATAAAAGAGCACAATGGAGAAAGTCTTTTTAGTGAAAACATATAAATATTATCATTATAAATGTTATTTTGACTGTCGTTACTGCAAACGTGTGACTTCTTGGGACTTTGGATATTTAAATATATATGGCAACAATTTTTCCTATTTTACGCTACTTACTTTTTGCTAGAAATGAGCACTTTTATTTCTGTTAATGAAATAATACAAATCATAGTCATATTACCATTTATCATGTTTATATTATAAAAGGAAAACTTTTAAATACTACGAAAATGTCAAATATTAAATATATCCAAACGGATACCTGCTTGAAAAGGAACGCTACAATCTTTCGAATTAAAACTCATTCATGTTATTCCAGTAATCTTTTCCCCTAAATAAACTTTTAGCTCAGACAACTCATCTAACATCTCGTTAAGTTAGAAGAAGCATAAGCTCAAATCAAACTTTAAGCATCTTCATCGGAGATGCCTCTTTTTTCAGAATACATGAAGAGAATTGGACCGTTTGAAATACAATTCATAAATTCTTGGTCAATGGCTCACTGACAATAGCAAAAGCAATAATTTAAATTCAGAGGTTATTTGCTGATTATTGATTGGAATTTTCAATTTCATTGTCTGCTTCAGGTAATGGACAAAAAGGATGAAACATACAACGACAAACAAAGACATCTTGCAAACTCAACATAGCTATGAGTTCCATGGAAAAAATCAAGACACAATAATTCATTTGGTGATGTTTTGAGTCTATAAATTGTGTCCTGGGAAATGTTAACAACAAATGCAATATAAAGAATTGTAGCATGTGCTTCAATCTGTTCCGTTGATATGTCCATTGCAATTCAATTTTAGTAAAATATTTCTCAACTAATAAAGGAGAATTTTACAAAAATGATCCACGATGAATAACTTTTATAATTTTCACATTTTCTCAATCACCTATAACTTGATGAAATGTTACAAGTATAGAAAAATTTTCTGTCCTCTATTCAAAATTCATTACCGATATTGGTTTTTGCGACCCCCCCGCCCTCCTCCAACAAAAAAATGACAGCGCGCCATTGTACCATATGCTTGCCTTAGTGATGAATTATAACTTATACAATAAACGATAAAAGAGCACAATGGAGAAAGTCTTTTTAGTTAAAATATATAAATATTATCATCATAAATCTTATTTTGACTGTCGTTACTGCAAACGTGTGACTTCTTGTGACTTTGGATGTTTAAATATTTATGGCACCAATTTTTCCTATTTTACGCTACTTACTTTTTGCTAGAAATGAGCACTTTTATTTCTGTTAATGAAATAATACAAATCATAGTCATATTGCCAATTATCATGTTTATATTATAAAAGGAAAACTTTTAAATACTACGAAAATGTCAAATATTAAATATATCCAAACGGATACCTGCTGAAAAAGGAACGCTATAATCTTTCGAATTAAAACTCATTCATGTTATTCCAGTAATCTTTTCCCTAATTAAACTTTTAGCTCAGACAACTCATCTAACATCTCGTTAAGTTAGAAGAAACATAAGCTCAAATCAAACTTTAAGCATCTTCATCGGAGATGCCTCTTTTTTCAGAGTACATGAAGAGAATTGGACCGTTTGAAATACAATTCATAAATTCTTGGTCATTGGCTCACTGACAATAGCAAAAGTAATAATTTAAATTCAGAGGTTATTTGCTGATTATTGATTGGAATTTTTAATTTCATTGTCTGCTTCAGGTAATGGACAAAAAGGATGAAACATACAACGACAAACAAAGACATCTTGCAAACTCAACATAGCTATGAGTTCCATGGAAAAAATCAAGACACAATAATTCATTTGGTGATGTTTTGAGTCTATAAATTGTGTCCTGGGAAATGTTAACAACAAATGCAATATAAAGAATTGCAGCATGTGCTTCAATCTGTTCCGTTGATATGTCCATTGCAATTCAATTTTAGTAAAATATTTCTCAACTAATAAAGGAGAATTTTACAAAAATGATCCACGATGTATAACTTTTATACTTTTCACATTTTCTCAATCACCTATAACTTGATGAAATGTTACAAGTATAGAAAAATTTTCTGTCCTCTATTCAAAATTCGTTACCGATATTGGTTTCTGCGACCCCCGCCCTCCTCCAACAAAAAAAATTGACAGCGCGCCATTGCACCATATGCTTGCCCTAGTGATGAATGATAACTTATACAATAAACGATTAAAGAGCACAATGGAGAAAGTCTTTTTAGTGAAAATATATAAATATTATCATTATAAATCTTATTTTGACTGTCGTTACTGCAAACGTGTGACTTCTCAGGACTTTGGATATTTAAATATATATGGCACCAATTTTTCCTATTTTACGCTACATACTTTTTGCTAGAAATGAGCACTTTTATTTCTGTTAATGAAATAATACAAATCATAGTCATATTACCAATTATCATGTTTATATTATAAAAGGAAAACTTTTAAATACTACGAAAATGTCAAATATTAAAGTGCTTATCTCACAATTTTTTTTTTCGAATTTTCGTATTGCTTCTTCAAAAGTAATCTAAAACTTATATTACAATTTTTTCATGCGCTACGTTGTTTTTGAATTATTATTGATCAAATATGAAATTTGACAGTAAAAGTTGATAATTGGCCTGGATCAAGTCTCTGTGACGTAACTTAAGGAACAAGTCAAGGGCACAGAATAGATACATATCTATCTATTCTGTGTCAAGGGCTTGTTGTTATCAACGATTAGATGGTGGAGTTGAATTTTGATTCGGAAAGCTCTCATAGTTCGCAATGTGATTCGGAGTATGATTATATTCCCGGTTATGTGATCGAGGACGAAACAAGGAACATTAATGACCAGGAATATAATATAATAGATGAAAATCACGGCTAGTCCGAGTCCTATCTATACGCTGATGAACCAATGGCCGAACAACCATGGTATGAAGACTACGTGGAAAAGTCAAATGAACAGAAAAAGCAACTTGAAATGCTACAAAAAAGACTTGATCACACAGTTGAGTTGAGTTCTTGGTGAGTAATAAAATTTCTAATTTCAATTCAACTTATGAAATGTATTTCAATTCAGGTTTCAAGTTATGAAATATAGACATAAACGAGCAATTATCTATTCAAGATTACCATCGCTTTTTTTTACTTTTGGGCTAAAAATTGTTAAAAGATGCTCGATTACAATTTTTTAATGTGATTTTCTTTATTGATCAGGTGCAAGTGTGGTTTTTGTCAAGTTACACTTCTTCAGAATCCTCAAGAGGCCTGGTGCTGCCAAGAACTTAAGTCTGTAGCTGAAAGCTTAACGCACCAGTCGGTTCTGGCAGATCTGTCAACTATTCCATGTTGTGTCACTCTACACCCAGGTTTCAGACCAGTTTGTTTGGAAAAGTGGTCGCTAAAAATGGCTGCTAGGAAATACAAAACCAAAGAACAAAGATGATACAGAGAAACAGGATCTGAAAACATGTATGATAGCATATTATGTTATTTCCCAGTATTTAAGTACATTTTAGTGTTATGACACATTAGTAACGATTTGGCTTTATATTCAGGTTTTTACGATGTGTTGCATACAGAGAATTCACATCTATGATTTATGGATGCTAAGGAGAAGAAAGAAGACCATTACCAGCATGTGCATACCATGCAATAAGATCAAAATTTAATGATAAAAAGTTTGAATTTAGAGGGTACGAAGAAAATAAATGAGTGAAGTGAAAATTAAGTTTTGCTATTTTTTGGGCAATCTGCCACATGTTTGTGACCTTTCATTGGCTTCTTGCATGTCAAACATTTTGGCTGACTTTTTTCTTTTGAAACTGCCACATTTGACTGACAGCTGAATGGCACACTGGTAGCTGCTGGCATGAAACAAAAACATTTTCATTATTTAAATGATTTTCAAACCATGTTTAGCTACAACATGTTATATAATCATTATTAATTACCTGGAATTGAGGGGGGGGACATCATTGACAACAATGCATTTTCGAAGGACCTGTTTTAGTAGCATCTCAGATCTGGTTTGCTTTTGCAGCATGACATTCATTGGTGGTGGGGACATTTCTTTCAAAAGATTTTGTGAATTTGATAATGCGTCTTTGTCTTTTATTGACAGCATCACACTCTCAAATAATTCATCCACATACTCTAAAAAGAAATTATTGTCGTATTCAATACTATGAAATGATGCAAAGCAACACATTTAGCAACAACTTACCAAATTTGGGTTTAACTCTGACATCCCTCACAGTTCCTTCACCTTTTTAAACTTTGGATACACTACATTTATTTGGAAAGTGCCATCATTCTTCATCTTTACATCACGCCTTAAGTTGTTGTTGAAGTGGATGGATGCCAAAATGTGTCTTAAACAATAAAGACTTGTGGAAGTTGCAAAACAACTAACATTGTCACATAGGAAATTTTTGCCCACCTGCAATACATTCCAACATAGGAATAATGAATCATTTTTGGAGCAAAATGATTCAGGACAGAATGGAATCCTTCCAAACAACTTGTTTGAGCAACTGGTGAAGCCTGTTGAATTGACTTCATCAGCTGTGGGTGTAACAATTTAGCACAAAGCTTTTCATGAGCAACTGAACCTTAAACATTACAACAAAGAATGATGATAAACTGTTAGGAAAGTTATCTTTAAATAATGCCTTCACAAACCTTCTAACAAATATTCCCTTGGTTGAATATCAGGGCCATGAAAACAACTTGAAAACAGTGGATCATCCAAATTGGTGTGCTTGTCTACTATGTGACTCAGGAAAGATTTGAACTTTGCCATCACCATCATAAGTAGAACAAGCACTCCAATAGAAATGGTTGCCACAGGGTTTGACCACTTTTTCAATTCTTCACAGCCTTTTTCTTAGCTAAGCTTTGTTATTATTTTGGTTAATTCTACAAAAATAGTACCATTAAATTGGCTATTAATGACATGCAAATCCATACTCCTCTCAAGATTTTACACCTTAAATTCAGCTTACTTTTTTTTAGATGCCATAAATCAAAATAGTGCTTCACATGTGCCATTTTCTCCCTCATATGTTTAATAATAGATATGTGTCTATCAGATATAAATGTTGATAATTGTATACCACTGCTTGAAAACAGCCGAATACTTAGTCGGTGTCCATCGAGCGCGTTTTCTTGCAACAAAATTCACCCAGATTTTACGTCTTCGCTTCGCTTCAGGACGCTCATCACCGTAAAATGGTATACGGTGGAGAGAAATTCCTTCCGCAGAATTTGCTCGGTTTGAACGGCGGAAAACTGCACATCTATCAGGCATTTTGATGCAGAGTCGTAGTAGATGAAGTAGAAATTATAGCAAAAATCACACTTCAGAAAAACTTCCTGTCCTTATGTTACGTCACATACTTCTCGATTCAGGCTCTCATCAAGCAAATTGAACGCGCAGCAATTTTCTCCATTTTTGCCGATTTTGAGAAAAGAAACGCATTTATCTCATAAACGAAGCGATCAATCAGAAAATTGTAAAATAACTTTTACAATAATTTTTTTACCTCAATCAGAAAATTCAAAAAGCAATAATTTAAAAATCCGTAGGTTATTTGTTGAATATTGATTGGAATTTTCAATTTCATAATATGCTTCAGGTAATGGACAAAAAGGATGAAACATACTACGACAAGCAAAGACATCTTGCAAACTCAACATAGCTATGAGTTCCATGGAAAAAATCAAGACACAATAATTCATTTGGTGATATTTTGACTCTATAAATTGTATCCTGGGAAATGTTAACAACAAATGCAATATAAAGAATCTAGGTCCGAATGAAAATTAAAAAACAAATTACTTTAAAATCGGTTTTAATCTATAAAATAAACTAAGACAAAACAAGTAAATTTAATGTACTTCATAAAACTTCTAAACATCCATGTTTGAAGTTCAGAAGTTAGTTGTTTGAAAGTAGTGCAATTTTTTATGATATAATTTAGTTTATATTGCAATAAGTGTTCATTGTCCTTTGCCTAAAATTTAAAAACTTAACCTAAAAAATTCGTATCTTTGCAAAATATTTAAGATCAATGCAGATCACGATTCTGAGAAATAAACCAAATAATTTCTCCTTCAGCATTTCAGTTTAAAATTAAGATTTATATTTTAGAGATGATTTCTTATCTATAGCTTAATCAAAAATGATTACGCGACTACAAATAATCATCCAACTTAGTCAGCTGAAATTTCAATTGAAAAAAACGTTTACTTTGTTATTTGTAACTAACTCAAAATCCTAAAGTCGCCTTAAATCGTTGATGGATATCAGTGGCATACAAAGCATGAGGACCTAGAGGGACATTATGAAACATGTACGTTTGGGGATAATTTATAATATGAAATCATTAGTACGTAATAATTAATGATTTCTAAACTATAATTATCACAACACATAAATTTTATAGGGGTTGCTCCTTATACTACATTGGTGAAATCAGTTTAAATTGGCTTATAACTATTTGAAACAAACAATGTGTAAAATGCTGTTTTCCCATGGTGTGGAGACTTTCATGTTGCTAACCCTGGTGTAGAGACTTTCATGTTGCTAACCATGGTGTGGAGACTTACATGGTTTTAACCATGGTGTGGAGACTTACATGATGATAACCATGGTGTGGAGACTTACATAGTGTGGAGACTTACATGGTGTTGACCATGGTGTAGAAACTTGCATTGCGCCAACCATGGTGTAGAAACTTGCATTGCGCCAACCATGGTGTAGAAACTTGCATTGTGCCAACCATGGTGTAGAAGAAACTTGCATTGTGCCAACCATGGTGTAGAAACTTACATGGTGTTAATCATGATGTATAGACTTGCATTGTGCCAACCATGGTGTAGAAACTTGCATTGTGCCAACCATGGTGTAGAAACTTATTGTGCCAACCATGGTGTAGAAGAAACTTGCATTGTGCCAACCATGGTGTAGAAACTTGCATTGTGCCAACCATGGTGTATAAACTTGCATAGTGCCAACCATGGTGTAGAAGAAACTTGCATTGTGCCAACCATGGTGTAGAAGAAACTTGCATTGTGCCAACCATGGCGTAGAAGAAACTTGCATTGTGCCAACCATGGTGTAGAAACTTGCATTGCGCCAACCATGGTGTAGAAGAAACTTGCATTGTGCCAACCATGGTGTAGAAATTTACATGGTGTTAATCATGATGTATAGACTTGCATTGAGCCAACCATGGTGTAGAAATTTACATGGTGTTAATCATGATGTATAGACTTGCATTGAGCCAACCATGGTGTAGAAATTTACATGGTGTTAATCATGATGTATAGACTTGCATTGTGCCAACCATGGAAGTTTGAGATTTACATGGGTTTTAAGAAAGGTAAGTCCGTCCAAATAACTTAGCTTTCCTTCACCTGTGGTTTAAACGATTTCAGAAAGTTTACCAAATTGTTGATTTTCAACCAAATATAAGAAGGTGATATTTTGCAATTCTTATAAGAAGGTGATATTTTGCAATTCTTATTTTTGCGCTGTGCTATCATTCTTATATAAGAAGGTGATATTTTGCAATTCTTATTTTTGCGCTGTGCTATCATTCTTTTTGTTTAAAATTCTTCAATTGGCAGTTCCTACGTATCTTCGTTTCCAATTCACAAAATAATGTAAACAATATGCTTCAAACAATGGACTCTATCTTCTCAGGCTGTTGAACATCTTTAGTGTCGTTGTGATTTGTCGCTGTCATATTTTCTAATCTTATTGCGTCTTCATTCTTATAAGATACTCCTTTTCGTGGAGAGGCATCGTCTGCTAGCCTTTCGTAAGAACCAGCATCTTTTAATTTCTGTGTTGATGGTTCAACAGCAACTTCAGGTAAAGGAACTGTAGATGCCGTGTATGCATCTGTGGGAGGGGTAGGTAATGGTGCATTGGAGTCATAGCTAAAAATGAACATAATATATTGTGAAAGTTAACTATAGAGTAAATATTCTTCAATAAAAACATGCTTACGTTGTAAATAGTAAGAGAACTGTACATAAAGAGAGTACTAACCCATGTAATTTATTGGAAATGAGCAATGGTTGTAAGTAATAATCAGATTTTTTTTTCAATAATTCATCTTTCTCCCTTGCCGCCTCAATCTCCTCAGCACTTGCTTCAATGTGTAAATATGGATTCGTCTAAAAATGATGAAATAACATTGAAAACAGGGACTGTGTAATAAAGGCAGTATGGTAAACGGCTGACCAAAGACATTGTATAAGCAGCAATGATCACTAGAGAATACAATCAAGAATTGCAAACATATGCAGGTTCACTTGAGCACAAGAATCAAATGAATTCAGGGTAAGGGGAAGTATCTTCAATTATTGTAACGTATACTTAAGTAATATTAAATAGCGCAGATTATGTCGACATAAAAGAACTAGATTTTTCAATTTCCATCTTCAACTGTTTTAGCACATTTAGACACAAATAATTTACTGAGAAGTCAATAGAGTCTAATCATACATACAACAAATATAAATACGTATATGTACAACATGTACAACAATGTCCTCTATATATGTACAACATGTACAACAATGTCCTCTATATATGTACAACATGTACAACAATGTCCTCTATATATGTACAACATGTACAACAATGTCCTCTATATATGTTTAAAACACTATATCTTGAAGAGAGGAGAATGATGGTGTAATAAATTTCAATTCAATTGAAGTTAGAACCATACCTTTTCCATATGTCGTTCCAATATTCTTCCAAAATGCTCTACCAAATTGGAAAATGTTGGTCTATTTTGTGGTTGTTCCTGCCAACAATCTCTCATGATTGTATAGATTTCCAACGGACATTTATTGGGTTGTGGCATACGTTTTTCTTGGTTTAAAAAATCCAGCAATTGTTCAGGTGGTAGATCAGGATAAGGCGTACCTCCAAGAGTCATCATCTCCCACAGTAGAACACCGAACGACCAACTAAAGTTAGTAAACAAAATGTGTCAACTAACACCTTAGGAATAAATGGAATAAAAAACATTCTATGAACAAAGTTGAGAAAACCTGCATGTCAAAATAACATATTTATAACTTACACATCACTTTGATGAGTATATACGCGATCAAATAAAGATTCTACAGCCATCCATTTTACAGGTAACATACCACTGGATGTCTTTACATAAACATCGCTTTTATATATATCTCGTGCCAGACCAAAATCTGATATTTTCATGACGTATTCTTCAGCAAGAAGAATGTTACGGGCAGCAAGATCACGATGTATTAACTGAAAATAATTAAACATCATAAATCTTACATCAATGTTCTAGCAATGAGCGTTAGTTACTTATGAATAGTTATTATAGGATTAGAAATTGTTTTTACATGCATAAACTTCATGTAAGATCTGTTAAAAAAATGTATTTTATGAAATGTTTACATGATAATTTTTACCTTGCGTGAAGCAAGAAACTCCATTCCTTTGGCAATTTGAAAAGCAGCACCAACAATATCAATTAAAGTAAACTCTTTCTCTGGATCATAAATTTTCTTTTCCCAGGTGCTTTCATAAAAAGATCTTTTGGATCTTAAAAATGTCAGCAAGTTTCCATGAGGACAAAATTCTAAGATTACATAAAGTTGCCGTCCCTTCGTACAAGCGCCGAGTAAATTAACGATGTTTTTATTTTCACCAATGTGAATCATTAGTTTCAGTTCCTCTGCTAAATCACGTATTTCGCTTTCTGTTGCATGAGCTACAGGAACAACAAAGTTTTTTTCAAAAGAGAACAACAAAAACTCAAAATTTCAATGTTTGTAAAATAACCCATAATTTTCTCAATAGAATTTCTCACCTTTAACAGTTTTTACAGCAACAATAGCATTGGTTGAATTAGGCTGTAAATGGTCTTTCTTTTTAGGTCTTTGACTTGCCCTTAAAGTACGACGTATTTTCGATCTTCTCTTACCAGCAATGCTGCTTTTATCGCGAGGATTTAAAGCTAAAATTCCCATTGCTTCAGCTTTGTAAACTTCTCCAAAGGCTCCTGCACCAAGACGATCACCCATAACGAGTCTTTCAAAAGGAAATTCCCAATCAGAGTCGTACGGTAAATTCATACTTTGCTCATTAAGCGTTATACTAGGGTCAATCTGAAACAAAGTCAGAAGAAAACACAATGAAACGAGCTTACCGTTAAACTAAAAAAGAAAAAAAAGTTGTGACATTTGTTACAGTGCGTGTATGTAAAAATAGATGCTTGTATAGGACTTACGACTGAGTGTTAAATACTCACTGAATAATTTCCAGTACGTAGAAAATACTGATGTTTGTAGAATGATAATTTTTGTTTTTGTTTTCTATAGAGAACAATGATGATAATTAATATGATGACTATGGAAACACCAATAACTATCCCTGCAATGGTTCCTGGTGATGTACCATCGTCGTTTTGGATCGTCGGTGTAGGATCTACACAAAAAACAGAAGTTAAAAATATTTAGGTATGTGCATGGCCCATGTTCTGTCTAGGAATTTGAAAAACGCATTCTAAATCAATAATTTTAATGCAGCTGGAACTACTAAATTTGAGACAAAGGTGCTAATTGTAAAATTCATATTCTAATACACAACTTCGCCGCATGAAGAAAAATACTCATAAGTGCAAAAGTCAATATAAAACATCCCTAAATGAAAATCTGCAAATCCTGCTAAATCATAAAACAAAATCTCCAACCAACCTTGAGGTCGAAGTCTTAGTGACAACAAACGCTTCTCTGTAATACCAAACGAGTTCCATGCCTTACAAGAATAATTTCCGATGTAAGATTTATTCATTTTTTCAACTGTCATAACTATTTCCTTCTTTGCTATAGCTGTGAGCTTCACATCACTATCGAGAGAAATCCATTGTACCCAAGGTGTAGGATTACCGCTTGCTACACAACTAAACGTTTTCTTTTCATTGGGAAAAAGACTTTCATCTATTAAAGTTGATGGTTCGTCGATCTTTGGTTTACCTAATTAAAAATTGCACAACTATTCTTACAACATTTTCATATGAACCTTAAATTATTTTGTTGAAGGACGTATATACTTTCATTTCAACGCAATGAAACTTTATCATTTAGAAAATCTAACAGTGTAAACATTGTCAACCTACCAGTAACATTAAGATAAACAGTTGCTGTGACGTTTCCTAACTGGTTTTTTGCAAAGCATGTGTAGTTTCCCGAATGTGAAATATCAACGCCACAAATAATAAGAGTTGTTCCATCATTCTTCAAGTAATAGTTAGGAACTTGGGTTTTACAATTTGTGATTATAACACGACCAATTTCTTCATCATTTCTTGACCATGTTACTGTGGGTCGAGGATTACCTGACACATTACAAATCAACTCTGCGTCTTTATCTTTATCCTTATTCACTGTAGAATCTTTCATCTGATAAATTACAGGAGGATATATTCCTGTAGAATAGTAAAACGAAAAATTTGTTTGAATTGCTAACAGTATGGATGTGATTCGCAAACAAACAATTACTGTAGGTAGCCAAACACATCGACATTTTCTATCAAACCAAAGTAAGTAAGAGCTAGTCGTACTTATTGTGAACGTTTTTAACCACAAAGTATAATTTATACATATTCGTTTAGGATAATCGTTCGTTAAAATTTCGACTCAATGTTTTACAAAAATTAATAAGTTTTACTTTCGTTTTGAAGACGTTTTAAAAGGTCAACTGTCATACTGTATTTATATGGCAATCAAAGAAAACCTATGCAAAAGAGATACATAAGTGGTTAATGAATAACCTTTCAAAGTCAAAGAAAAATAATATCAAAATTTCACACGTTTAGATAGTTCATGCTAAGATAAAAGTATGTTCCTTGTGTTAAACAGCGAGAATTCGCAATATTTTTTACAAACTTTTTTTTAATGCTTTTGGTGATAAAAATTTCAAAGCAACTAACCTCGTACATTCAATGTTACAACAGCACGTTCATTACTGAGAGCATTTTTTTCACTACATCTGTAAGTTCCAGAATCATTGATGTTGATATTTCGTATTTTCATTGTAACATTACGATATTGAGGATTTCTACTTATGGTGATGTTTGTTCTTTCATTATTTATCACTTCACGACGAGGATTTTCTTTGTAAAACGCAATATTATCACGAATCGAAACATCTACTCTGCAAATTACCATAAAGTCCTCGTTTTCATTTAAAATTACATCCCCAGAAGGAAAAACATTAAAGGGATCATCTCCTAAAGCAAAGAAACGAAACGTTTCACCATCAATCAATGTAATAATAATAAACAATATTTTCATGTAAACAAAAGAAAATCTTACCAAATCGCAGAAACCTAAACATTCTACTGTCATTTCCATGAATGTTTTGAGCAAAACATCTGAACAACATTGAAGCTTGTTTAGCAGTCGCGGGTATCTTTAAAACACTTTCATATTGTCCTTTGTTTTTTCCTTTTTTAAACGAAGACTTATACTGTGAAGGGGTCCAGTTATTCGAGACAGGTTCATTGTTGTTGTTAACGATCTGTTGATCCCAAGTTATGTTTGGTCTTGGATTAGACCATCTTATCATACATTTAATCTCGCCTTCAGTGTTGTGTCGTGCTGTAAAATATTCACTATTTCCTCTGCTGATGGATGGTGGCACTGAAAAAATTGATAACATGAATCAACTCATTATTAATAAGAAAAACCCGTTTAGGTTTAGCAAAATGTGTGTTTAGCTAAGAGGGTTTAGCAAAGTTTTACAAAATGATCATCACTGACCACAACTGAATGTTTATGACACAGACGTTTATGAACCATACAGATTATACATAATACTAGAGGTTGTATTGCTGAAGAATTAGGAGGACGCAGAGTTGGGGAGTAGAGGTGGGTGTGGCAAATTTTGGTCCCACATGTATCGCTTAGTAAACACGAAGGACCCAAATAAACTTTTGCCATCTGTTTTCGAGTTTCGGATTTTTTTCCAATCTCGAGGGTAAGTGTTTTCTTTTTTTTTTCTTTTGTCTTAAAATCAAGAAATTTTATCAGTATAAAGAGTTAGTAAATATTTTTTTAGCGAGCTGTTACATAATAATTATGTGTTTTTTATAGCCTCCGTATTCTTTATATGTTTTCATTAAACTATAAGCGATGAAAACATATGTCGTTCTTCCGTATTCTTTATATGTTTTTATTAAACTATAAGCGATGAAAACATACGTCGTTCTTTCGTATTCTTTATATGTTTTCATTAAACTATAAGCGATGAAAACGTATGTCGTTCTTGCTAGTTCTTCTGTTTTTACAACTCCATTTTTACGGTATAAATGGTAAATATATGTTTTTTGAAGTCTATTAGCAGTTGAATTAAAGACGAAAAAAGCTTTTTTATCGAGCAACACTCACGACTTTTTTTACCAACATGTTTTGCAAAATACGAGTGGTTTAAACCATCTAAAACCACGATAAAAAGAAAAAACATAGTTCAACAAAATTGATTGTGATAAAATTGACTAAAGTATTTACGCATAATATACACAAAAAAAGTAAAAAAATCACAGTTGGTCACTGTAGCTTAACACCAAAAAATCGATTTTGCCCCACAGAAAACGTGTATTATTTATAATCTTTATATATGTAACAACCAGGTAATCAACTCAATTTTATACCATGAAAACACGAAAGTCAGATCATAAAATCAATTAAATATGAACATTCATACCTGTTACATCGACATAAAACGAAACAACGTCCTTTCCGACAGGATTAGTTGCGACGCATGTGTAGTTTCCATCATCTCTCACAAAAGAAATTGATTCAATAATTAACTCAGGTACACCGTTTAATCCATATCGATCACGATCACAGGCCAATGGAGTTGCACCTTGAGTGTTCAAATCAGCACTATCTATATCTTTGCCAGAGCAAAATATGATTTCTTTATTATCTTTGTAGCAAGTAATATTTGGAGAAGGAGTACCCATCACAGTCAACCTTATATTACCCTTTTCATTTGTGTTAAAAGTGAAAAAGTCTTTCACTTTTTCAAACTCGGGAGCATTTCTTTCTGTTGAATAAAAAAGAACATTTAACAGAGAGTTCAAGACATAAATGCTTTCAATTACATAACATACACTAGCTTAGAAACTTCACCTATAGTAGGTATTTTTAAGGCAATTAATGTATAATAAAGTTTTAACCAAAAATGCAAAGTCAAATTATACGTTAAAGCGCTAACAACGCGACTTTTGTAAAGTAGTTTCATATACCTCTCACCGTCAAAACACGCCACTCTGTTACTTTCTTATTACTGTTATCCACTACTTCACATTGGTATCTACCAGAGTCAGCAATTGACACGTTTTGGATACGATACTCTTCAATTCTGTCTTGATCCGTACTTTTATCAGTAATAAGATTATCCAGAATAGTATACATGATTTCTGTCCCATTTATTTCGTGAAATCTTTGCCATTTTATATTTGAATTTTTGGTGTATTCACAGCTAAATACAAAGTCGGAACCTTCGGTAACTGTGTTGCTCTTAGTAGCTGGATTCATAAGTAATTTCGCTATAAAAGTAAGTATCAAAAATACACAAGTTTAGATACCACAAAACTACAACTATTTAATAATAAACACCAAGTAATCCATCAAGACAACAGAAGTAATAAACTAATTAATGACCTTGAGTACATGACTTCATGGCCGTAGTAACATCTATTTACTTTTTTTTTTTTACTTTGCATGTATACAGCAGAGTATAATCGCAACATCTTGAGCAAATTACCTAAAGATCCTAAAATTAAGTCGAGGTTCTTGTGCCATTGTGGCAATGGATAACCCTTGTGAAACGTAATTTCGCAAAGAAACGGTAATATCAATAATTGTTGGGGGAGGAGAAGGGAGGGGGCATATCTATATTTTGTTTGGGGGGAATATCTATATATACATCTTATAATCATTAGAAAACAATTAATTTCAAAGAAAGTTAAAAAGACATATCATGCACATATGATACCCTCCCCTTCAATTATTGATCTTTCTACATCCCAGCACAACTGTATTACATTGTAGTTTTATCGCAGTTTCATTCAATAAGAAAAATTCATCTAACAAATAAAAATGATTGAAAAAATCGCTTTTCTATCTATTAATCTTTATTCAGTGACTAAGCACCAAGCAGGCTCTGGGTGTAAACACTTTTTAAAAAAGTTTGACATATATAAATAGGAAGGTTCCAATTTTACAATAATCATGATTTATGGCAAAACTGAGCATTATGAACCATGTTTAACATAATATCAAACATTTATAATTTATATATGTCAGCTTTCTTCTCAAATATTAGCCTATATAGCACTGCTCCAATTATGCAGGTTCAGTGTGCATCTATAAAAATGATAGCACTAATTGTAAACAAAACAGAGAAAGATTTGAAAAACAAATTTACCTCTATTTGTGGTAATTAGCAACCAAGCTTGGACCGTTTTAGAAAGTAAGGAACACTCATATCGACCATTATCAAGCTGTATGACATTGGAAATGATTAAAGATGTTCTCATCAGCTTGATTCTTTCACTAGCAATTATTTCCCCACCATTGCGAGTGAATTCGACACTGTTGTTGCCAGTAATATTTACATCACAATCAAAGGTATGTGAAGATCCAGGTTCCACAACTTTAAAAACAATGGTAAAATAATCAGTTCAAAATTGTTGGCACTTAAATTAAAAAGCAAGCATTGCTCTTTCAACTGAAGAGCAAAGTGCTCATGTGCATCAAATTGAGTTTAAAAGTAATTCAATTATTTTAAACAAAATGTCGACACAAACTCTTATTTGAGCTGTAATGTCAACTGGAACGATGGGTCAACAAGGGAGAGGGAGGGTATGAAAATACAATATGAATAGAAAAAGTGCAATATATATTAAATTGAACTAAAGCTATTTTCAAACAGGAATTTTGCAAGTAAATAGGTTCTAAACGGTAAGAAAACTGGACCTTTTCACCAAAATTTGATATTTCTGTTATGGCAGATATTCTCAGGCACATCCAGTGTACCCATTTAAGAAATAAAAGATGTTTGCTTGAAAGTTCTCACAAACATCTCCAAGGTTAGCATAAGACAGTGCAAACAAAAAAAACATCTTTTATTTCTTTTATAAAATAACAATAATGGAAAACAAACATAGAGCTTATAGCAATTTAACCATCATGAATTTCAATGCTACAGCACTAATGTTTCATCTAAACTGGAAAGCTAATCATAAATTATCATATCTTAATATCTACTTACCTTTTGTCTTGATACAATTTCCCAACGATAATGAAGCCAATTTAGCGATTCGGTGATACACCAATAATCATTAAACATTTAAAATACACGACAAATTTCTTTAGAGCAAACATGTTTAGGCATACTTTATAAGTATTGTGCTCCTACGAAATTATACACCAATAATGTTGAAAAGCAAGCGTTCAATATTAATCTTGCAGCATGTGCTTCCATCTGTTCCGTTGATATGTCCCTTGCAATTCAATTTTAGTAAAATATTTCTCAACTAATAAAGGAGAATTTTACGAAAATGATCCATGATGTATAACTTTTATAGTTTTCACATTTTCCCAATCACCCATAACTTGATGAAATGTTACAAGTGTAGAAAAATTTTCTGTCCTCTATTCAAAATTCGTTACCGATATTGGTTTTTGCGACCCCCCCGCCCTCCTCCAACAAAAAAATTTGACAGCGCGCCATTGCACCATATGCTTGCCCTAGTGATGAATTATAACTTGTACAATAAACGATAAAAGAGCACAATGGAGAAAGTCTTTTGAGTGAAAATATATAAATATTATCATCATAAATCTTATTTTGACTGTCGCTACTGCAAACGTGTGGCCTCTCAGGAATTTGGATATTTAAATATATATGACAACAATTTTTCCTATTTTACGCTACAAACTTTTTGCTAGAAATGAGCACTTTCATTTTTGTTAATGAAATAATACAAATCATAGTCATATTACCAATTATCATGTTTACATTATAAAAGGAAAACTTTTAAATACTACGAAAATGTCAAATACTAAATCTATCCAAAGGGATACCTGCCTGAAAAGGAACGCTACAATCTTTCGAATTAAAACTCATTCATGTTATTCCAGTAATCTTTTCACTAAATAAACTCTTAGCTCAGACAACTCATCTACTATCTCGTTAAGTTAGAAGAAGCATAAACTCAAATAAAACTTTAAGCATCTTCATCGGAGATGCCTCTCTTCTGAGAAGACATGAAGAGAGTTGGACCGTTTGAAATACAATTCATAAATTCTTGGTCAATGGCTCACTGACAATAGCAAAAGCAATAATTTAAAAATCCGTAGGTTATTTGTTGAATATTGAATGGAATTTTCAATTTCATTGTCTGCTTCAGGTAATGGACAAAAAGGATGAAACATACTACGACAAACAAAGACATCTTGCAAACTCAACATAGCTACGAGCTCGATGGAAAAAATCAAGACACAATAATTCATTTGGTGATATTTTGACTCTATAAATTGTCTCCTGGAAATGTGAACAACAAATGCAATATAAAGAATCTAGGTCCGAATGAAAATTAAAAAACAAGTTACTTTAAAATCGGTTTTAATCTATGAAATAAACCTAAGACATAACAAGTAAATTTAATGTACTTCATAAAACTTCTAAAGATCCATGTTTGAAGTTCAGAAGTTAGTTGTTTGAAAGTAGTGCAATTTTTTATGATATAATTTAGTTTATATAGCAATAACTGTTGACTGTCCTTTGCCTAAAATTTAAAAATTTCACCTAAAAAATTCCTATCTTTGCAAAATATATAAAATCAATGCAGATCACGATACTGAGAAATAAACCAAACAATTTCTCCTTCAGCGTTTCAGTTTAAAATTAAGATTTATTTTTTAGAGATGATTTTTTATCTGTAGCTTTATCAAACATGATTACGCGCCTACAAATAATCATCCAAGTTAGTCAGCTGAAATTTCAATTGAAAAAAACGTTTACTTTGTTATTTGAAACTAACTCAAAATCCTAAAGTCGCCTTAAATCGATGATGGATATCAGTGGCATACAAAACATGAGGACATAGAGGGACATTATGAAACATGTACGTTTGGCGATAATTTATAACATGAAATCATTAGTACGTAATAATTAATGATTTCTAAACTATAATTATCACAACACATAAATTTTATAGGGGTTGCTCCTTACACTACATTGGTGAAATCAGTTTAAATTGGCTTATAACTATTTGAAGCAAACAATGTGTAAAATGCTGTTTTCTCATGGTGTGGAGACTTTCATGTTGTTAACCATGGTGTGGAGACTTACATGTTGTTAACCATGGTGTGGAGACTTGCATGTTGCTAACCATGGTGTGGAGACTTACATGGTGTTAACCATGATGTGGAGACTTTTATGTTGCTAACCATGGTGTGGAGACTTTCATGTTGTGAACCATGATGTGGAGACTTGCATGGCGTTAACATGGTGTGGAGACTTACATGGTGTTAAACAAGGTGTAGAGACTTGCATGATGTTAACCATGGTGTAGAAACTTGCATTGTGCCAACCATGGTGTAGAAATTTCCATGGTGTTGACCATGATTTGGAGACTTTCATGATGCTAACCATGGTGTAGAAACTTGCATTGTGCCAACCATGGTGTAGAAACTTGCATTGTACCAACCATGGTGTAGAAACTTGCATTATGACAACCATGGTGAAGAAACTTACATAATGTTAATCATGATGTATAGACTTGCTTGTGCCAACCATGGTGTAGAAACTTGCATTGTGCCAACCATGGTGTAGAAACTTGCATTGTGCCAACCATGCTGTAGAAACTTGCATTGTGCCAACCATGGAAATTTGAGATTTACATGGGTTTTAAGAAAGGTAAGTCCGTCCAAATAACTTAGCTTTCCTTCACCTGTGGTATAAACGATTTCAGAAAGTTTACCAAATTGTTCATTTTCAACAAAATATAAGAAGGTGATATTTTGCAATTCTTAAAATTCTTCAATTGGCAGTTCCTACGTATCTTCGTTTCCAATTCACAAAATAATGTAAAAAATATGCTTCAAAAAATGGACTCTATCTTTTCAGGCTGTTGAACATCTTTAGTGTCGTTGTGATTTGTCGCTGTCATATTTTCTAATCTTATTGCGTCTTCATTCTTATAAGATGCTTCTTTTCGTGGAGAGGTATCGTCTGTTAGCCTTTCGTAAGAACCAGCATCTTTTAATTTCTGTGTTGATGGTTCAACAGCAACTTCAGGTAAAGGAACTGTAGATGCCGTGTATGCATCTGTGGGAGGGGTAGGTAATGGTGCATTGGAGTCATAGCTAAAAATGAACATAATATATTGTTAAAGTTAAATATAGAGTAAATATTCTTCAATAAAAACATGCTTACGTTGTAAATAGTAAGAGAACTGTACATAAAGAGAGTACTAACCCATGTAATTTATTGGAAATGTGCAATGGTTGTAAGTAATAATCAGATTTTTTTTTCAATAATTCATCTTTCTCCCTTGCCGCCTCAATCTCCTCAGCACTTGCTTCAACGTGTAAATATGGATTCGTTTAAAAATGATGAAATAACATTGAAAACATGGATTGTGTAATAAAAACAGTATGGTAAATGGCTGACCAAAGACATTGTATACACAGCAATGATCACTTGAGCATACAATCAAGAATTGCAATCATATGCTTGTGACAGTGTACCAGAATTTTGTAACGTTAATGGTGTAAAATGAGGCCTATACGTTCATGTTTCGTATTTGATTTCCTGTATTGTGTATGACTTCATTTATGGCATTTTTGGGGGTAGGGTAACACCCCATCACTTGCCACCCTGAATCTCTCTAGTTACGCCACTTTTTTTAAACGACTTTTGATACACATTACATGTTATAACACCAATGGAATCGGAAATGAGCAAAGTCTTCTGACGTCCAGCTCGATATATCGAAATTGACCGATATATCACGAAATTCATAGAAAGCCTATGTAAAATAAATGGATCCATTAAAGAGGCTCTGTTCACCTTCCTAATGTCAATGAAAGACAAATCAAGTTACTCAATTATTGAATTAACTGGGAAGTTCTGCTTTGGCATGTTGACTTCATTTGATGAAGTAATTAGCACAGAAATGATTTGTAAACGGAATTAATTCAAATGTAATATGTAGATGATAAATGATTGTAAACTTTTTATGTATTGTATTTTATACACATATGTTGTCGTGTGTTTTTGTATTAATGTCTTTGTAATTGTCTTCATGCAATTTGTGATAGCCTGATTGATGATTTACAATAAATATACTTCATATTAGGCCAGTAAAAAATGTACTTCATAGTACATAAGAAACTAGGGATATCATACACCCTTACTCCAATCACTCCTATCTGCAATAAGTCTACAATGTTCAAGAAATTGTTTTCTCCAGATTCACCTATGATAAAATAAAAATTGGTACGCTAGGCGTACAAGTGGTTTGGCTGGCAAATATTATAGATGAAATATATATAAATATTAATTTTCGCCGGACAAAACTATAAACTATATAGTTGATGCTTCTTGATATACAGTACGCTGAGTGAAGACGTCAATCATACGACTTTGACAAACAAAAATCGGTACTGTATCAAACAACCGTTTCCATAAAATTTACTACCCTCTACAACCACGCAACCTCAAAGAATGAACCAATTGTAGTAAAAATTATTTCAGTTTTATACATGATGAATGTTTTGAATACTTTGCGTTCTCATTTTAATTAAAGCTCTCTTGGCATAAAATATGCAGGATCTTATTTTAATTACAAAAAATTGCTAAGATTATCAAGTGTACGCTGTGTGAATTTTGTATTCCAAAATAGGTGGCAGAAGTCTATTTTGGAATACATCAACTTTTGTAGAACTTCTTTCCTAAATTAGAGAGCGAGGGAACTCTTTAAATTAGTTAGAATATAACAAATGCTTATTTATGTAACTATTTTTGTGTTAGTCTGTTTAGATGTGATTTTGCCCTTGATATTTATACTTTTTGAAAAATCAAATTTTTCAATAGATCATCTGCAAACACCGATCGAAGAATTGAAGTTAAAGATTTTGTGTTTCTTAAGAATACTTTCTTTAAATAATAGTACTTAGTCTAAAAACTAGTAAAAATAATTGCTTACACTTACCGTAAAAACGTTAACGTTGACCATGGTAGGCTAGCTACGTCCTTCTAAAAGAAACACAAGCAACAAAATTTTCAGACTTGTTGAATGATAAAAACACTTACAGCCCTGACTTTCACTTTTCACATCTTCTCGTCCTCTGCATCTGAAAAATACTGAACAACAAGTTAGTGGTATGACAAAATAAATAAAAGGCAAACAAACAAACAAATGCATACCGCAGTTTCAATCTGCAACTGTTGCCATGTAAGAATAACTGTAAGAATAATTTTTAAAATACAATAATGACAAGGTATAGAAGTTCGTGTATTTCGTAAAACCAGTGTTTGCAGAAGATTTGTTAAAATTCGAAGCGAAATGAAAAACAATACACTACAAAAATTGTAAATCTATAGAGCGAGAGATATTGTTTTAATAACCTAATTTGAAAATACATTCGTACAGTTTATATAGGTTGTGACCAACCATTCCCCTGGGAGTAAAAGAACAATGGAATGCTCACCATGTTGGATAACATTTGAATTGTAAATAACGAAAAGGCTTTGTTTAAACAATCCAACATGACGGCCATGACGTAACCTGCTCACCAAAGGCTTTAATTGATTAGTCTTGAGGTATTTAGTGGGAACTATTCACGCAAATGAAAGATCTTTCATTATTTAAAAATTGCGATACATTGTATATTTTTATTCTACATCCAGTCTAGAAATCACAAGCATGGACGATCGATTATATTACTTCAGTATTACTTCAGATTATACAACTTTTTGAGATTTCTCTTGCAGTTAATCGAACGTTAATTGAAGAGGGCATGACAGACAAAGTTTTGAATTGAACACCAGCTTGTCTTTAGTATGGGTTGAAGGACTGCAATTCAACGTTTTTTTCTATATATTTTAAATGTCTTGGATGCTTTACTTAGACCAGGAGGCAACAATATTACCTAAGCGATCCTACCTTTCATGTAAATCTTGGGGAGTAGGGAGTGTATAATTTATTTCCGCTGGAGGACGACACTTGTGAGTATATTGCAGCAAGGTTTTTGGAGTGTAATCAGCACATTTCCCTCTCTTTAAAAAAGACTACATGCTTCCATTGCTTAGTCCTCTCTCACACAGCCACTCGTATAAAAAAAAACGAAAAAGACTCGTTGACACATGTCTTCGACAAACGATAGTTTTGCAAGAAAACACGAGGAAGCTGAGTAAGGACATGCATGTTCTTTTTAATTGAATTACGTGAATGTTTTGTCGTCAACAGAAAACAACCGTTCATTTTAAGAAAAATTCTTGAATTGTGGCGATTTTGTTGTCAAAGCTCGATGTAGCCATAACTCACTGCTGGGAGACGTCGTCCGTAATAATTATAGATATTTCATTATTCTTGCTAGACTTGTAGGTATGTAGAAATCTATGAAGATGTCTTATAATTCAGAGGTTTTATTTCAGCCTTAAACTTTTGCTCTTCGTTCACATAGAATTTCTGATCCAGAGGCGGATTGTGTTGTAAAAGATTTTGTATACGGTGAACCACGAGATTAGATTAGTTTGACTCTTTATTACATATTATTGCATATTTATTCTATATAAACGTCTTTTAAATCTATTAGTTGTAAGACTTACGGCGATCTACTATTGTTCAGTTTCGTGTTTGTACGTTATATTAACTAGTTTGAACCAATGTTGATATAGCAGTATGTATAAACAACTTCACGTTATCAATTCCTATCTACGAGACAAGCATTGTGGTTATAATAAAGAATTTTTGGTTTCTCTACGTATCAATCGTATAATTCAAACTATTTACTTCTGTTCGGTTCCATTTGAAATTACAGGGACATAGCCTGAAGGAAGCAAAAGGGGCAAGAATTAAGTGATTTTCTCTTCCTTTTCACTAAACCTGCGTTCTCCCCTGAACAATATGCACCATCTACGTATCACTCTACTCAAATATACAACAGTAGAAACATTGCTCGTCTCTAGTTGGTCTATTGAGATTATAATTCGACTGCCTACTCCACTGAACTACACTATCTAGGTATCACTCTACTCAAATGTAAGATAGTAGACATATTGTTGGTCTCTAGTTTGGTCCATTGAGATTATAATTCGACTCTTGAAAGATAATTACATGCAAAATTAATCCAATAAACGTTTTCCTGGTCAACAAGGGAGAAGTATTCAATTATTTACAGCTCTATGCCATCAATAGCGCAAAAATACCGTCAATTGCACCAAACAGTTCAAGCTACACACAGACATAAAAGAAACACATATTCATTTAGAAATTCAGCATATTCACAAACATTCAATTGCACAGACAGGCGTTCAAATGCGAAAAATGTGCAATCAACAGTGTGAACAGTAAACACACAAATGAATGTTATATTTTAATGAACGTTTATATGAAAAGAAAAAGGTGTAATTGAACTTTCAAGTATATTTTTCTTCCTATGAACAAACATAAAAATACTTCATAAATTGCCAAGATTTGTTTACTAAAACCTACAGCAGTAACAACTAACAAGTTACCGAAACCTCCTAGATAATCATCATTCTTGACAATTGAAATTAGCCTGGAATCACCATATTTTAAAAGAATCTACTCCCACACAAAGTTATATAGGAAAACAGTGTCTACCTTTTAAATCCTGTACATGTATTTTGAACTTTTTGTTTTCCGAGTGTAAATAAAGTTAATGATGCACAAATGAGTGAATAAATGCATTCTAGCTAACTGACTTTCCCTTGTCCCTAATATCAATAGGAGTCAAGATAAGAAGAAAAAAAATCGTACGTGGCGGTATTTACAAATTTCAGACGATGTAAAATAACACAGCAGGACGTTGACGTTCTTGATCATTCTTGGTCAAAAGTTGAAAGTATATAAACATATAATATATATGCACATCTTATAACCTATATCGTAAATACTTACATTATATAAAACAAATTCATCAATTCTGTCTGAGGATGACTTTGAAATAAAGACGAAAGTTAACAGTTCACTTCTCGTCTTGTTTTGACGCATATTTTGCAATCTCAAGATGTCTTGTTTCTTCGGAATTTGTTTTAAATTATATTTCTTTAAATTGTCTGCTGGTCATGGTTTTTGGTGTAAATACTTACATTTTCCAGAGTAAGAAAATTTCAAATGTAATGCTCTCCAAACCAATAATACTTCTTTCCTTTAAGCTCTTTCATCAGAAAAGGGAATGTTAGCGAAATTTTGAAAACCCTCCCTTATCTGCGAACAAGCGAATTTTTGACTGCAACCCGCGACTAGACATATACTCGAAATGCGCAAAAGAAAACTCTCTAAATTTTAATTCAATTTGAACCATTTGAAAATATTTAGTTGTTGGGGGACACCTTGCGCTTGTCGTCAACACTGGTCGTCCACAAATTTGGAATTTTTTGATTTTCCAATGATCACATGATTATATGCATCCAATCATATGATTTGGAATTATTACAATAAATATGCCAGCGGACCAAAATTTAGCATCATTCCCAATCCTGTACTTTTCACAGCATTATCAAGTATCATTGATGATGCAAGTATCATTGATGATGAGCAAATTTCTTAAAAGCGCGCGCATTTGTGCGAAGCATTTTTTTTCTCAGCCTGTGGTACAAAATAGAAATAGACAGACTGATATTAAAGAAATGAGCCCCTTGACGGCCTTGAATCTCTTTTCCATGAATTTTACAAAAAAGGAATTGGATTCTCTTATCTTCTGACACCAATAAGTTCCAAAATCCCCATAGAAGTGAATGCCTTGCGAAAAGCTCTTCAAATGGTCTCGCAAAGGCATCCCTTGTTGCGTGCAACAATCAGAGAAACAATGGAATCAAAAGAATTCATTTGCGACGACCGACATGAAAACTTTAAACTTTCCATTATTAACAAGAAAATCGACGAGATTGAAGATATTACAGAAGAGGTGTTTCAAACTACAAATTTGGAAGCGAATGATGGAGATCTATGGAAAGTTGTTTTAATTCCTGGATATTAAAATTGCTACACTCGCACATACAAAGGAGGAATAGTCTTGGCAATTTCACATGCTATTGCAAACGCACCAAGTTTGGCTGTTTTCTTACGACAAACACTGGAATACTTACAAAGGAACAGCCCCAAGTCTGGAAGATATTACAAGCGCTCCATTATATCCTAATTCGGCATCACTTTTGTCGCACAAACTTCAACACATAAACAGTTCGTATATTTTATCACCTGACTACATAAATCCAGTGCTATCACACATTCCCACCATTGAAGATAACACCCACAAGCAAGCACCAAAAACAAAAGTCATCATTCGTAAAATCCCCGCCGATTGGACACGACACCTTATTCAAGAATGCCGAAGAAACAAAAGTACCATTACAGGGACCCTCCTTGCTGCCTGTCATTTTTCATTTCAAAACCTTATCAACGTCATTGGATTGCCTTTGACCAGCACGAATGATATAACATGTCTGACGCAAGTCGGTTCAGACCACATACCTAGACTTCCACCTGATTACGTAGCGTGTCATTTCGGTGCATTGACCTACAATCTTCCACTATCAATATCTTACAAAAAGTTTTGGGAACTGGCTAATACGTTGAGCAAAAGCCTGCGAGACGATATGAAACGGGATAAGCATTTAACATTCTTGTCGCGCATCGAAAGTGACAGCAACGGATTCCTGAAAGAGTGTCTGCAGCAGGGAAAACTTACATTAGCAAACCGCCAGAAGTCGTCTCTTACTCTATCGAATATCGGTAATTATGGCAAGCTATTTCGGAAAAAAGGTGGTCGAGAAAAAAATCTCCGTTGAGAAAGCAAACCGATGTTGAGAAACACGTGTTTATCATTGAGAATTTGCAGATGGCAGTTCAGTAAAGCAAATGTATTGTGAGAAAAAATTCCCGGTCGAGAAAAAAAACCCGGTCGAAAAAAAAATCTCGGTCGAGAAATAAAATGCCAGTCGTAACAACATAATTTATAGTTATACCATGGTTCATAGCACTGTTCTTTGCAACTTTAAGCAGCGCTCTGATATACTACGAATGGCGTAATGGCGGATGTTCAAGATATTATAGCGTTTTTTACTTCCCTACAGTCTTGTTTAGTTATTGTGTAGCGTGATAGTGAAGATGCCAACGCGAAAGAATATGTATGTAGAAAGTTAGAGGGACATTTTCACGTTGTTTTTGCTCTTCAATCAGTTATTGAATCCAAATTTGGCCACGAAGAGTTAAAGAGTTTGTTTGAGAATTTAGTCAGAGAGTTACATATCCTTGTTAGTGAAGTGCAGTCGCAATGTCGTGAACAACTTCCATATAATAGGTTAACTTTGAGTCGACAGCTCACTGGTGGAAGGCCTAAATATGTTGTTTCTAAAGAGCAAATAGAAACATTACGAGAAACGGGTATGAATTGGAAATCAATCGCAGAAACGCTGGGTATAAACGAAAGGACACTGTACAACTACCGCCAAGAGCTAAACATATCGCAAACATTTTCTGAAATCACTGACGCCGAATTGAAATCAGTTATAGAGAGTATACTACAGCAAACTCCATATGCTGGCAAAACTTATATTCGAGGAGGCTTAGTTGCTCGTCAAATTTTTGTACAAAGGAACAGAGTGAGAGAATGCCTTCGTTTACTTGATCCTGTGGGAAGGGCTGTAAGAAAGCGTGTTACTATCCAAAGAAGAATGCACAATGTGGCTGCTTCAAATGAGTTATGGCACGTTGATACCAACCACAAACTTATACAGTGGAGGTTTGTAGTTCACGGTTGTATAGATGGCTACAGTCGAGCTATCATTTATTTAAAATGTTCTACTAACAACTTAGCAACTACTGCTGTACAGTTCTTTATCGAAGGTAATGAAAAATTTGGTGTTCCTTCACGTGTTCAAGCAGACCGCGGAGTGGAAAACGTTGAGATTGCAAAGTTCATGATTACAACTCGAGGCACAGGAAGAGGAAGCTTTATTGCAGGTACCAGTGTTCACAACCAACGTATTGAACGGTTGTGGCGAGAAGTGAATAGAGTACTGGGAGCTTTATACAAGGACTTGTTTATTACAATGGAAAATAGTGGTTTACTGGATGTAGATAATGAAGCACATTTGTTGGCTCTTGAGATAGTGTTCTTGCCTAGAATAAATGCATCACTCGAGAATTTGAAAGTCAGTGGAACTACCATGGACTTAGAACAATGGGTCATAAGTCACCAATGACACTGTGGTACTCTGGCAATATTCCCAACCAAGTGGATGAGCTTGTTACAGACTTTACATTTTATGGAGTGGACTTCGATGGAGATATTTCTGACATTGAAACAGATAACAACATTGTTGTCCCAGAGGGCAGAATTATTTTGTCACCTGAACAGTGGTCCATTGTCCACAATACTGTTCCAAATCCAGTGGCAAATGATGGTAATTATGGCATCAATTTCTATTGTGCAGCATTACAAACACTTACTGACATTTTGTGATGGTGATAGAAAAAAGTTGATCAGAAACTTAGAAAACACAACATATGAAAAAGAACAAGAAAAACCAGCCTATTTGATAAAGTTCATTTATATATAAGATACAACAATATTTTAAAATGTCTTCCTCTGTAACAGTCCTGAATAAAATTCTGGTCTTTATAAAATAAATTTTAACATAACAAAATAGAACAAGTTTTAGTTTATGGAGCAATAACATTTAATGTAATGCGCTTAATATTTTTAAACAATGTCAAAAGCCCAAGCATTTTATTACTCAGCAAGTTTGAGAAGTCCTCTGAAAGTTCATTATAGCTTTGATATGTGCTGGGAATTTCAAGAGTAGGAGTGCATGTATGTGCAACAGGACGTCTGCCTAAGCCTTCCAATTTATTGAAAGAAATGCTTATTTTTGCAAACCAGTACATTACTTCCAGTTGTAAACTGCAAAAAAGTACCAATATTTCCTTCAATGGACCTTATAAATCTTTTCAGGTGATCTAAGCATGCCCTTTCTGCATCTGTATTAGGATGGGCATCAAGAAGCTTCACAACTTTCTTCGCATTAGGTTTTTTCTCATTATATAGCAAGACCAAATTTTCAAGTGACTGAAATGGCATGTATCTTTTTAGCAAGGATAAGATTGGGGTCCAGCAGTTTGCAATATAACGGGGCTTTTGGATGATTTCTTTATGAGCTAACTGCCAAATAATATTTTCAATATTGTTTTCACTGGGAGTGGTAAAACATTGATAGCTACTTAAAAATTCCATAACATCATCATCAAGGGGGCTCATATTCCCACTAACTACTTCATTAACTATTTCTTGCTCACTGACTGACAAAAATGCCTTAAAAGATTCCAAAAGAAATGCTTTAGTAATGCAAGATTCACCAAACAAGCACACAGATATAAAAGCAGGTGAGAGCTGGATAGGGAGATACCTTTCTTGAGAAAAACCATACACAAACACTCTTGCAATAGCTTTCCATTGCTCACTCTGATAATCATGCCGGATAGCTGGGATTTTTTCATTGGCACCGACTGTAGCAGATACAAAGAATTCCTGCCAAAACCCTGTAAGTATATCTCTAAATACTCCACCCTTCACCTTTCTCCATTTGCCCTCTGTCATCAATAACTTTAACTATAACTATTGAATTTAAAATTTCTTCATCACAAAATGCATCAATCATGTTATGCTTAAGATTTGATCAGTGTATCACAATGTTACTTGTTGGAAGATTTTCACTTTCCAAAAGAGTTGACAGATTTTCATTTTCCAAAAGCACTTCTGATGAAGTTTCAACAGCTTTAAAAGAAAAAGAATACCGTTAAAAAAGAGTACTCCTGCTCTATGTTTTTTCTCTGGCTTAAGCAATAATGCACCATTAAGGGTGGAATGCTTAATTTGAAAAAAACATGTAGTAAAGGTCTATCCAAGGTCTAAAGACTGATTTACAAATAACAAAATGAATTCAACAATAACTCATTAAACATGTGTGACAGCAAAATCTTCAGTAGTAGAACTTTATGATGTAAATATCACAAATAACAAAAGGCAAACAATCCAGCTTAAACCTTAGATTTCATTTTGATGCAAAATGTTTTAACAAACATACCAGAAATATTGGACATATCAACAGAATTTGGATCTTCTGGTTGAACTTCATTCTGAACATTTCCATTGTTGTGAGAACAGTCTGAAATAGTACCAACGGATGGCAAAGAGGTTTCTCGGACAGCAGGTGGATTATTAGTCACTTCCATTTCACTGTGTTCCTCAACTCCAGGATGTTGATATGAAGATATGCAAGGAGGTTCATTAGTAAACGCAGATCTTAGAAACTCATCATCACTTGAGTCATCCTATTACATATGAAAATAAAAAATTATCATGATTCTTCCTTTACAACGAAAAAATGTTGAAAAAATGGACAAACAATAAAAAATGATGTTTAATGACTAATTCGTAAATTTATTTCTAGCAGAATGTATTTGAAAAAATGAAAAGGCAGACAAGACAAGCATACCTGCACAATACACAGGTCCTCTCGATCATTCAAATGTTCAGGTTTGTTGATTCTGTTGCTTAATGGTTCCAATATCTGTACTGATGGCCTGACATAAATTGGTTTATCTTTGAACACTTTGTGCACCATGAAGCCATTTAAGGTTTGGTTCGGTGCAAGACAGGGTGGATGCAATGTATTGTGGACCGACATTACGATTTCAATATCTATATTGTGATCTTTTAGTTTGTCACCAAACGCATTTCTCACATGCATCTCTACTTCATATCCCTTCCATTCTTTCATCAGCTGGAAGCCTAAAATAATATGACCATTTTCCACTAGATTGACTCTTGCGCTTTGGCAGGGGACAGCGTTTACATTTGGCCCTGACAAAAGGACTATGTCTCGTATGAAAGGACCACTTGGCCCCTTCTTCATTTTTGATTGCTTTTTCCTTGAGGAGCTGCTGCTGTTCAAAATTCGCTTGTTATGCTTCATAGCAGGAAAATATTGCCTTGGTTCTATGGACGAAACGGTGGCAAAACTGGTACCTGTGCTCGACATTGCTGTTGATTGTTGTAAATTTATGTCGTGTCCTCGGCCTCCGCGATTAAAAGATCGTGCCACTTCCTCGTTTATAGACGATAATTCAGAGTTTTCACGAAATGGTGAAATAACTTCTGACAATTCTTCGACTCGAGCTAAAATGTTGTTAATAAGTTGACCTGCTCTTGGTGACCCGTTGCTCGCATTCGCATCCATCTTACAATTGCTACTGTGAATTTGGCACCACGATGGGCACCCACATATGGGCACCACATTCAACACAACAGTCATCACAATAATCATCATCATATTCAACTAAAATTTATCATTCAAAATAGACCAGGCAGAGAAAGGGGAGTAAGTCCCTCAACAGGACTTTATTGCTTTATTGTTTTTATCAATAAATTTCAGTTGAATGCGGTGATGAATTGTGCTGATGATTGTGCTGTTCAAAGTAGTCCCAAATTCATATTAGTACCAAATATGCAGTGCTACATGACAGCCCTCGTCTGCCTCATGTCCAATCTTCAGGTAGTGCGTGCACAATGGCGTGCACTGGTTCTCGACCGGGATTTTTTTCTCGACCGGGATTTTTTTCTCGACCGAGATTTTTTTCTCGACCGAGATTTTTTTCTCGACCGGGATTTTTTCTCGACCGGGAATTTTTTCTCACAATACATTTGCTTTACTGAACTGCCATCTGCAAATTCTCAATGATAAACACGTGTTTCTCAACATCGGTTTGCTTTCTCAACGGAGATTTTTTTCTCGACCACCTTTTTTCCGAAATGGCTTGCCATAGGTAATTTTAAAATCTCGCCGCAATTGGTTCGCCCAGAAGAATTCATCGTTGGCACACCAATTCACAGGAGATTTGGAACGTTTGGCAACTATGTCATGGGTTTGAATGATGTCATCAATTACATGTTCTGTTATGACAACAGCATCATTTCGAAGGAAGTCGCACTCAAATATGCTGATGAAGTGTGGAACGCTTTACGACATCACACTGTTAGTTTGGAAAGGTGTGAAGCATAGCATCATCATTTAATGAAAAACTGCATAGCTTTTTAGAAAGTTTGCGTGATAAATTTTTGAAAATTTTAGAAGTAGTTTCATGTTAATGTATGAAAGCGTGCTTTTTTTCTTCTTCATTACACCATAAAAATAATCAAATTTACATTTTCTTCTCATTAAGTAAGAACGTGTTTCACCAAAACGTAGCGAGTAAAGATTACAGGGCAAGTCTAATCACAGTGATCTGTATGAATTTGCTTCCCCGGACTAACGGTAACCATTAAGATTCGCATGTTTCTTACTTCTACAAAAGACTCACTTGTTGCTTCCTTCCATAAGATAACGGATTAACCATCAAGACTCAAATGGTGCTTCCTTCCACTAAAGCAGATTCATGTTTTAAACAAGACTATTTTGACGTAAGTACTGCTCAAAACAATCACTATGATCTGCCATTATTCACAAAGTTCATTCGAATGTTGTCATGAGTATGGATATATTCCTTAATTTACATATCAGAGGATATACGACCAAACATACGTCTAGTAATTTCTTATCTTCCCAAAAGTGGAGCGCAGTCAACACACCATTGCTCAACTCTCGTGTAATCAATAATGAGCACATTTTACATCATCACATGCACCAAACAATGGAGAAATTTGCCTGTCAAAACGGGCTGTATTTTATTTGCAGCATGTAATACTTCCTTTCATCGCTCTTACCAGCAACCTAGTACATATTTTCTGGTTGACTGTAGAGCTATATCTCTGTCAAACCGCTTCAAATAGCTCTATATTAAGAGAGTTAAGAGAATGAAACAAAGATATGAATTTGTCATAGTGTACTAGTTGTTTCTCTTATCAACAATTATTTTTTGTAGAAATTTACCACTACAAGCAGGAAACAAGGGTCACGAAGGTGAAATCGTGCGTGTTGTTTAATGGTTTAATTTGTAGAATGCACATAATTAAGAAATATTAAAGATATGCCGTAATTTACATATCAGAAGACCTTCAAGCATATGACAAGTATTAAGTAATTCCTAAACTTTGCAAAAAGTGGAACGCAGACAACACACCGTTGCCCAACTCGTGTGTGGTCAATAATGAGCACTTTTTTACTTTATCACATGCACCATACAATTGAAAAAATTTGACTGTCAAAACTAGCTGTATTTTATCAGTATGTAATACTTCTTTTCATCGCTCTTACCAAGATCCTAGTACATTATTTTCTCGTTGTGCTATCTTCGTCAAACCGCTTCACATGGCTTTTTATTAAGAGAGTTAAGAGAATGAAAAAAATATATGAATTTGTCATTGTGTACTAGTTGCTTCTCTTAACAGCAATTACTTTTTGTAGCTATAAATAGCCACTACAAGCAGGAAACAAGGGTCACGAAGGTGAAATCGTACGTGTTTAAATCATCTGTAGAATGCATATTATTATGAAACATGCGCACAACATGCAAAGCTTCATTTTTCAGCACTCTGAGATGAGTCTACATCGTTTAGGCTTTAGAATTTAGACATTGTTTAAACAAAATTCGATGAACAAAATTCAAATAATATTTTGTTTTTAATCAGTAATATTATTGTGTATAAATAGTTTCACGTGAAAAACACACATTGCTCTAAGGTGATTTATTTTTACTTTTTACCCTCTTGACATTTTCCTTTCGTGCAAAAATGTGGCACATCATACTGTCCAATATTCCAGTTTATTGTCTTACAACTTTCGCTATTATCTGTACGCTCTCCTGCAATTATCAATTATCATACCATTCAATAAAATAGGCGCCAGATCAAGACATAACGGCAATGGTGTCCACAAAGAAATCTTATTATTTTAAGAGATAATACCATATAAAGTGTTGTATTATTGTATTTATATTACTGCAGATTGTCAGCCGTGTTCCTTTTGTTGTTATATAATTTACTTTTAATAACATTTTGTTAAGAGTATGTGCAACTAACTTATGTTTAATTTTACAAGGAGGAGACTTTGTGCATTGGAACTATTTTCTTTTATCAAAGAAACGTTGGAACTGGCGAGAGGGAGAGGGGTTCTACTGCAAAATTTGAGTATTTTAAATATTTATCTTAGTTGCCATGTGGTGTATTTAAACCCTAACATTAACTAAGTAACCAATAATTCTTTGCAGTGTAAAAAACGTTTCTATAAATAATTCTTGCTGGATAAAATTTATAGGTAATTTTGCACAGGTAAAGGAAGCCACAATAAAAGTAAGGCTACCTAACTGGAAAATGGTCCTTTTTTAGCTGTCTCGACAATTTGAATGTTCTAAATTTTTTTTATAACTTTGCCACACTTTGCCTCCTCCACTATTGAAAACGTTCCAAAGTCCTTGCATCCATCAATAGTTTCAATACCCATAGCTTGATATATATCAAATGTTTGAAAAGTCATTCTCTTCACTATGCTAATCCATACTATTTTTATTACTAATTCATTTAAAAGATTGGATAAAACAATATCATGAATTTGCTTTCCGCTTTGAACTTACTCATGCACCCAATTTAACTAGGCAATACACAGCGTGAATAAGAACTGAACGACACTAAACAAAAGTAAGGTACATCAAGTTTCTTGTACATTTGACCACAGTGAAATGATAATGATCTTTGGAAGTTTGTAAAATACTTTAATGGACGTCTTACACAAAAGAATATTCTATTTTGTGGATTCTAGCCAATGACTCCAGCCGATGTGGTCACGTGGGTGAACTTATTTGTGTGGTAAATTCCAAAAGACTGGTTAAAATGGTTACAACGATGATTGCGTAAAACGATAAACGAAAGGTCAAACGAGAACGTTCTATGCATATTACAAACAAACTTCATCGTCTGCAAGCACACGCCATGTTTTGTGGGAATCAGAGTCTGTTGACGGCACGCCAGAAAGCAGACAATATGTATGTATAGTCAATTGTAATATCACAGATTAGTGACTGACAAAAGTCATCTCTATTATTAATTTTGTATTGGGCGCTTTGCAAGTGTTGAGAGCTTTTGTAATCTTGTGCCACTTCATGAAAGAATCATTGATGACATAGACCTCTCAGTAAGTAAATTAAAAATAATTCCAAAGTATTAAATAAAGATTTAAATCCAACCTGAATGAATCCTGCTCCCTTAATATAGCGATGAACGAAAGAAAGACGATGGATTCAGAATCATGATTGATTCCTTCCACAAAGCCACAGTATAAGGAATAAACATAGGTTCACTTTGATGTACAACTTGCTGCTGTGGATATAATTAGACTAATGGCTGCCACTAGCCTGCCCAGCGCTTCTATTGATAAGGAAATGCATTTCACTGACTGCCGCTGAGCCAACTATGGCAGTCAAATGCGTGATAAGATATGAGTGGCATAAAAATTTTCAATAGAGTGGCTCAACTCTATGTTCCATATATATACTGCACGTGCCTAATGTCACGCATAAAACAAGATAGTTTTTAGCTAAAGTACTGTTCAAGTTTAACAACAAACACCATGATCTTGCATTGTTCTCACTATCATTAAATATAAAGTTATAAAAATATTGTAACATGGGACCAATTAGAACACTAATGTAAACATAATTAGAGAAATGATGACTTTGTTAATCAGTTTAATAACAGAAGGGTACAAGCAGCTTGTGTATTTTGTCGTGGGGTTAGGTTTTTAGAACAACACAAGCATGAAATTCTTTCCAATGACGTTTACATCTTCTTGGGGTTCAATACGGCTAAATGATGCATATCAAAAATGTCTTCTGATCTGCATATTAAAGATGAGCAGTTTTTTTGACACAGCCTGTACGTATAAAAACTGGCAGGACCGTAGCTAGAACGTTAGTTTGGGGTGGGGGTAGTGCATATTCATCTATTCCGTTGTGCCCAACTGTTTTCTTCAGAAAGCAAAATCACTTTCAAAAGAAGTCAGTCATGCACAACTTCCATTTGTTCTCATATGTTTGCGTTAGTTTAAATTCATGAACACGAAGCACACAAACATCGCACTTCACAAAAAATCAAAAACATTTTGTAGTTTCATACGTCTATAAACCACAATTAGTTCTTTGATGAACCAAGTTTATCTTGACTCTTGATAAAAAATCATTCCAGATTTCCTTAACTATATTTGCTCAAATATTGGAAAGTTTTCAAATATGTGGATTCGATCATTTCGAGGGTGTTTGGTATGGTACAACGTGTTCGCTACTCAAAAAAGTGGGCTGAGTGAAAGAACACAACGGTACTATCTTAATGCAGTAAAAAGAACTTTAATGTCTGCACTGCATGTGCTGTGGGATTGTTAGCAATATACGTAGTGCTTGAACCAGGGAAATTTTGATTGGCGAGCCGCAGTACTTATGAAGCTTTAAGAAAAACTGAAAAAAATAGAGAGCAATAGTCATTTTGCGAAAAACATATTGCTGATAATATATGAACACATGACACATGAATAATATATGAACACATTTGACCGCCATGTTGGTGGTCAAACACAAGAGAATATTATATCAACATAGGAGATAGGTAGAACTGTAGAGATTGGTTGCAATTCCAAGAATATATTTAGAAATTAAATGCTTAGCATATTTTGAGTTGATACTTCCTATTTTTGGCGCTCGAAAACACAACACATTAAAAATAATATTACATAAACACGATGGCAAAGTTCTGTTGGTAGCTTATCTCTTTCTTTGCAATAACGAACTGTTTTTCAAACTTGCATTCCCCAGTTTACACACATGACTTGTGCAAATTAGCATAATACGAATGATGTTCTTTCTCCTCCGACGAGTCGCGGTCTTTTTCTGTAAAGTGTTCATCTATTGTCTTCTCTTTCATAATTAATTTCCCATTATTATGATTATTGGGTGAATTTTCAGGGAAACTAAAAACAAAAAATTACTTCTTCACGTCTATACGGTGAAGTCTCTCTTCGGGCTGTACGTTGTATTATTTCTATGGAGTTTAAATGGGGATATATTCTCTATAGACTATCGGGGGAATTCTCTCTATAAATAAAGTGCTTAATAAATTCTCTCTCGATAAGTTACCCTATCAAAATCTCTTTCAACACCCAGTCAACTTTCATTAAAGCGAGCATCGACAATGACTGTCGGCCACTCAACAATGACTGTCGGCCACTTAACACATTTTAATACTCTTAAGCAAAACAAGAGCCTGGTATATTCTGCCTACAAAATGTTGTACGACAAATACTGCCAAAAATTGATATTTATATCAAATTATTTACTGTTTAAACGGTAATTTATGTACTTGGAATGTAAATCATTCTTGGAAGAACAAATAGATACAAGAGATCAAACTGATAGAAAGTGATCCATTTTAAAATAAAATTGCTAATTACGTTTTAACTTTTTTCAAAAATCCCCTAGTGTATGCCAAAGTGAAAATGGGACGGCAATTGATATTTTCTAATCACTAACAACTTTTAGACAAACTTACAAATTTACATCTGAATGCTTCGGCATTTCCGATTTACGATCATTATGCATTTTCTCAATTTCGCTATTCTTTCTTTCTTTATTACCGAATCCTTTATCAAAACGGAATTTATCCCTCCTCGCATTTTGATCTCTTGGTAAAAGCGCAAAACTTTCGTTATCAGCCGGCGATGGAACTGGTGGTAAGGGAGAATTGCATTGAAATGGATCCATTACTGGAGTCTTCACCTCGGATGGCGATAAATAGTCGTTCATTAGTTCACCTTGTACCTCGAGGTACCCTTGACCTCCCTGTCGAAGAGATGAATGTTGAGCAACAAGAAGCATACAAACAATGGCGTAGACTCTCCAAGATGGGGGAGGGGGAAACAAGTTAGAAAGATAATTTCTTTGTGGACAAGGCCTGAAAATATTTGATGAAATTCAAATGGAAGAGTGGGCATAAAAATTTATGGAGATACCTGCCCCCTCCAGGATCCCTAAGCGATGCCACAACACATACACGTCTATTTCCCGACATTAATAATTTCTATTTTAAGACACGACGCATATCAAGATACAACGTCAATTACACACCTCAGATGAAGTATAAAGCGCAATAATTTCGTCAAGCATTTCAATAAGTTCGAGAAACAAGAGGCAAAGTAAATTACCAACCTCAGATGAAGTATGAAGTTCGATAATTTTGTCGAGGATTTTAACAAGTTCTGAAAATGTAGGCCTACAATCTTTATCCGCATGCCAACATTTCATCATAAGTGTCGATCTGCATGAAATAAAGTAAATCTTAAACTGATGAGTTAATATCCTACGAAGACTTTTGACATAAATTCTTACATTTCTTCAGGACATGCATGAGGCGGTTCCATTCTATGCCCGCGTGCAAGTAAATCTGCAACCTCAGTTGGAGGAACATCAGGATAAGGTGTGCCACCTGTAAATAAACAAAATAGTCATGAAATCATTATTTCAATGATAACAAAAAATAAGAAAAACATTTGAACAGGAAGCAAGCATCAAATCCAAATTAAATATTATAGAAACTCAGTAGTTACCTAATGTAAACAATTCCCACAATACAATACCAAATGACCAACTACATACAGAAGAAAAAAAAATTAGGCATGAAGGAGTGTGAAAATTTGCCGAAAATTAACATGGTCTTCAATGCATGGACTTCATTCACTTCACTATTCTACAACTTACACATCACTCTTTTCGGTGAAGAGTCTTTGAATAATTGCCTCAATAGCCATCCATTTCACTGGTAGTAATCCCTGCAAAAGTACAGTAGGATCAAAACATCATGTATGCGAACTGAATAAAAGATACATATAAAGATTGTGTTGCTTTTTAATGTTGCTACACAAAAAATGATTACAAAACCCTAGTTGTGCAAGTTAATACTGTATCTGTTCAGAAAAAATAAGCAAATCAATATACATTTTTACAAAACAGTATTTACTCACGGTGGAAGTCTTAATATATTGACTGTCTTCGCCCACATCACGGGCAAGACCAAAATCGGCGATTTTGATGACGTAGTTATCAGTAACTAAAATATTCCTGGTTGCTAAATCCCTGTGAATACACTAGAAACGAAAGAGTTCATAAGTAAATAGTATACAAAACACTTTCAGTTGTTTATCCATAAATTTTAGCGATAAATTTTTACATGGAAAGACTATGAAGGAGAACATATACTTACTAGTCTCGAAGCAAGAATGAAGGAGAACATATACTTACTAGTCTCGAAGCAAGAATGAAGGAGAACATATACTTACTAGTCTTGAAGCAAGAATGAAGGAGAACATATACTTACTAGTCTCGAAGCAAGAATGAAGGAGAACATATACTTACTAGTCTTGAAGCAAGAATGAAGGAGAACATATACTTACTAGTCTCGAAGCAAGAATGAAGGAGAACATATACTTACTAGTCTCGAAGCAAGAATGAAGGAGAACATATACTTACTAGTCTTGAAGCAAGAATGAAGGAGAACATATACTTACTAGTCTTGAAGCAAGAATGAAGGAGAACATATACTTACTAGTCTTGAAGCAAGAATGAAGGAGAACATATACTTACTAGTCTTGAAGCAAGAATGAAAGAGAACATATACTTACTAGTCTTGAAGCAAGAATGAAGGAGAACATATACTTACTAGTCTTGAAGCAAGAATGAAGGAGAACATATACTTACTAGTCTTGAAGCAAGAATGAAGAGAACATATACTTACTAGTCTCAAGCAAGAATGAAGGAGAACATATACTTACTAGTCTGAAGCAAGAATGAAGGAGAACATATACTTACTAGTCTTGAAGCAAGAATGAAGGAGAACATATACTTACTAGTCTTGAAGCAAGAATGAAAGAGAACATATACTTACTAGTCTCAAGCAAGAATGAAGGAGAACATATACTTACTAGTCTCGAAGCAAGAATGAAGGAGAACATATACTTACTAGTCTCTAAGCAAGAATGAAGGAGAACATATACTTACTAGTCTTGAAGCAAGAATGAAAGAGAACATATACTTACTAGTCTTGAAGCAAGAATGAAGGAGAACATATACTTACTAGTCTCGAAGCAAGAATGAAGGAGAACATATACTTACTAGTCTCAAGCAAGAATGAAGGAGAACATATACTTACTAGTCTGAAGCAAGAATGAAGGAGAACATATACTTACTAGTCTAGAAGCAAGAATGAAGGAGAACATATACTTACTAGTCTCAAGCAAGAATGAAAGAGAACATATACTTACTAGTCTCAAGCAAGAATGAAGGAGAACATATACTTACTAGTCTTGAAGCAAGAATGAAGGAGAACATATACTTACTAGTCTCGAAGCAAGAATGAAGGAGAACATATACTTACTAGTCTCGAAGCAAGAATGAAGGAGAACATATACTTACTAGTCTCGAAGCAAGAATGAAGGAGAACATATACTTACTAGTCTCGAAGCAAGAAACTCCATTCCTCTTGCAACTTGATAAGCAGCAATAACAAGGTCCGTCATCGTTAGTTGATTATTTGGATCTTTAGAAACACCTTTCCATTCCGTTTCATAGATTTCACGGCGATTTCTCAAAAATTGAAGCAGATTTCCATTTGAACAATACTCTATGATCACCCAGAGCTCACTTTCTCGACCTGAAAGATTGAAAGTTGGCCATAAAGTGGCTACGCATTGAATCCAAAACTTGAGCCTTTCATAACACCAAATACATAAAAAAATCTATAAATTTTAGTGAACCACATTACAAAAATAAATAATATAAAAATACAAAAGACTCCATATTCAAAAATAAAAACATTGTATAAGAAGTTCAGCGCATTCTAATCCTTAGTCAACAACATAAACTTAATCAATGCATATCTTAAATAACTTAATGAATGAACATTCGCTAAGTAAAAGAGTAAAAGACAGTTTTATAAACATACCTTTAGTACATGCACCCAATACGTTTACGATATTCTTGTGTTCGCCAACATGGATGAGAATTTTTAACTCCGATAACAGATCTTTTTATTCCGTTTCGCCACTGTCCTCTGAAATGAATATTTTCCCAGTTATTTTATTGCACTGCATTAAGAATGACGTAATACCGATTTGCCGTAATTTGTTGGATGACGAGAAGAGAAAATTCTATAAAATCCAAAACCTTCACCAGAATTCTCAATATAAATACATATCATGTCTTCAAGATGTAAACACTGACGCATCATTTTAAATGAGCCAAAATCCCAACTTGCGGCCCGTTGACACGACCAAAATTAATATACGTAACAAGGACGGTTTTCTCAACAATGACGTTCTGCATAGTGAGTGAAAAAATACCTTTAAGAGTTTTTACGGCAACTTTTGCCATTTTGTTGTTGTATACGAAATGATTTCGTCGAACGGATCCACCAAAACGACGTCTAGTTGATTTTCTTTTAGTGCTACCACGAGGATCAAACGCAATAATTCCCATTGCATCCGCCAAAAATACTTTGCCAAATGCACCGGAGCCAAGTTCTCGAGCTGCAATAAAATTTACAAACAATCTTCAATTTACAGAATGTTGATTATATAGTAAACTTTGTACTAGTACAACTAGCGTTTAAATACAAACGTGATTGTCCTAATAGCACTGATGGGGTCCGAACAAATAAAAAAAATTGCAGACCTTTAGCAAACAAACAACAAAATCTAGATATGTATTGCTTTGCAATAGACACCTCTTTCCAAGACCATTAAAAATTTTTGACCCCTCAACAGTGGTCTTTTCACTTGAGTTCCTAAACATTGAAACTCTTTCCTCAGGAATCAAACACCAAGCAGTTATACCTATTTTCTAAAGGTCCGCGTACACTCATGCCATATCGATGCACATAGTAGCGATAAAGCACACTTACCGAAATTTAGTCTGTTTCTTGGAAACTCCCATTCCGCATCATAAGGTAACTTGTTGGTTTGCTTCGTGATCGGTGTGTGTGGATCTAACTTTTTGATGTAGTCAGTAAGTGGAGGCATGGTTAGAATGTAAAATCCTCCATAAGCTTTCTTTCGTTTATAAAGAATAACGGCAACAACGACAACAAGGGTGAGAATAATGAAGAAACTAATACCACCAAAAACCATGGGAGTTTTGTTAGAATCTGCCTTTAGTGGTGCTTTGATGGTTTCGATATTTGGCGTGACAAGACCTGAAACTGGTTTTTCAATGATGCTTTTGCTCAAAGTGTTTATGACAAAAAGTTTCAGCGCACCGTTTTCTCAATTGACTTTTGGTTTTGCTCAAAGGGTTTATGACAAAAATTTTCAGCACACAGTTTTCTCAACTGATTTTTGGTTTTGCTTAAAGTGTTTATGACAAAAATTTTCTGCACACAGTTTTCTCAATTGACTTTTGGTTTTGCTCAAAGTGTTTATGACAAAAATTTTCAGCACACAGTTTTCTCAACTGATTTTTGGTTTTGCTTAAAGTGTTTATGACAAAAATTTTCAGCACACAGTTTTCTCAATTGACTTTAAAGTTGAATGGCGTTAGTTTACTCCTATAGAAATTTAGAACCTTCTTTTCACTATAGTTAATTAGTACAACTGGGACATCAGATTGCATATTATTTAAAGAAATAGTAGTTTTACTGCACAGTATGTAGTAAAATATCTTAACATTGCCATACTTATACACATATTTATCGAAACATGTATTCGTAAAACTGTTGTATTTTTAAACAAAATAAAACAAAGTTGGTGACAAAATTTTGTGTCATAAGCATTTTAACCTTGGATTAGTTCAAAATGTTGTTTTAAATTCTGACGCGTAGGGTGACATTCAAGTCGCCATTTCTTTTTCTATGTGCACAACTGTTTGTTTTTTTTTGATTGGGAAAGGATTAAAAATTGATAATAAATGAGAATTTCATGAATGGTTGCCACGAGAAAAACTTTTTTTTAGAAAAAGATCAACAATGCAATAATGTGCAATGAAGTGACAACAAAAAGTGAAGAATAAAAAGATAGATAGACAAACCCAATTCATGGTCTTCCGAGGTGATATTTAGATCATTCTGCGCGTAACAACGATAAGTTCCACTGTTGCCTTCTTCGAAAGACGCAAAATACAACACGTTGCTTCTATTTTCAACAGGACTGAAGTTCGATGTAGTATTATCAAATTTCGTCCACCATACTGTAGGTTTAGGATTGCCATCAGCATCACAGAAGAGAGTAAACTCTTGGCTGATTTTTGGTTTAATCTCTGAAAATGGCTTAATAACTGGAGGAGCTGAAATTTAAGAAAATTACGTACTTATCTTTCCAACTAACAATTTGCTTTTGAAATAAGCCAATTGCTACAATAATATACAAGCGCATGCGTATTAAAGATTTCATCCTATTCTAACGAAAGTAAAATATTTACAAGTCGTCCGAATAAAGTATTGCAGTGAGATAAGTTTAAAAATTGTGAAAAGATATTTTCTTTCAATGATTATTGATATTTTCCATAAATACGCAGAGTGCTCAAGACGTGATACCTCGAAGAGCATTAATGTAACATTTAACAACAGTTTAAACTTTTTAAAAAATACGTAAAACGCGATCGTAGCATTCTTACAACAAAAAAGTCATTCTTTAAATGTTTAGCTGCCAACAAATTATGATCTTGCCAAGTATTTCCACTTTGGCTTTTGCTGTCTTATTGCCAAGAGAATTGCGAGCTGTACATGAAAACTCGCCAAAATGCTCTATGTAATCAGCTTTACAAATCACCAGAACATCTGCTTTGGATTTCATATCAATCCCACCGATCATACCCTCACATTGATCTGTTTTAGATTTATCATTGCTTTTCTTAAATTTTATTACTTCGCCGTCTTTTTTCCATTCGATTTCAGGAGGAGGATAACCGGATGCATGACAATCGATTTCAAAAGAAGAATCCTGCCTTTGTACAATGTTGTTGAGGGAAACGTTTGGTGCCATCAATACTACAAGAGAAACACCATATCATGATGGGAAAACTGTTCAAAACAAGAACAAGCGCGCAGTTTGTTCATAAGTATGTCCTCAGTTTGCATAAGTATGTGCAAACACAGTAAACATCTTTTATTTCTTAAATGAATTGAAGTAATTAAAAGATTTTGTTTCTAAACATCATCTATAACAAAACCAAGGAACACATTTGTCTATCGTTACATATAGAGTTAGAAATGGCGGTGAGCTGAGAGCAGTTCAGGTGAGTTAAACCTTTATACAAGACTTAATATGATGAGCAAAATTTCATAATATCTGAGTACAAAGATTTTACAAATTTCACCAGAAAATCTGTACGTAACCTTACCCAAAATATTCAAAGCAAATGATTTAGAAACATTTCCCATCCTGTTCGTAGCAACGCATTTGAAAGTTGCATTATCTTTTGGAAATGATAAGTCATAGAAATATATATAATCTCGTTCAAAATATAGGTAATGATAAGTTGTTCTATCGGTTCTCGAGTTATACAACAGCTCTTCTTGACTGCCAACAATCTTCCACCACGTAATCGTAGGCTTTGTAAACCCCTCTACTTTGTAAAGCTTCTCAACTTCATAACTGTACCTGGGATCAAAAGTGATCACGGATTCCGGGAATTTAGAAATATTTGGCTTTGCAAAATCTGCAACGATAAATGAAAAAACAAACTATTATTGTTGTGAACAAATTTCATGTTATCCCAGTACTACTATGGCATATATGAATATTTACCCCTTCCCCCAAATTAGCGTTCTAGTTTCGCCTCTGGCAACGACAGCAATTGACGAGGCAAAGATCACACTCTTCATAGATTTGGTTATAGACTATGAAGGAGACGAGAGTGCTAATTTTCTACTTTTCTTCAGATCGTTTCAAAAAAAATAATTTTATAGATCTATAAAGACGTTGATTTCGATCATGCAATGATTGTCCTTGACTGAAAGTCTGACATCCACAAGAAAACCTCTTGTTCTTGATTTCTTGCAGTAATTAAGGCTATTTAACGAGTCACATTTTTCTTTTAGCTTTTCTGATATTTGTGCTGCACCAGATTACGTTGCATGGATTTTATTCTGTTAAAATCATCTGTACACTACAACAATATCCTGAAACGAAACGCCTGTATTTGAAAGCGCAACCAAGATATTTTTAGCTACTTCCCATTTTACGCGATTTGCGAATTTCAAAAGCAGCAGAAAATTTCTGCATCTCCCGATTAGCATGAGAAAAAAAACGGGATTTTACGAATAAAATTCTTATTTGGCGAAAAATTGTTGAAAAAAACATCAAAGAATCATTGCCTTGTGCGAAAATCTAGAAAAAAAAATGGGTCTGGGAAATACACTACATTAAAACTAGCTATGAGGAAAAAATAACACCTCTCATGTAATGCTTCAATTACAACTTTATTTCAATTTGCTATAAAAGTAAAAGTTAACTCAAACCATGTACGTATATAAAAGAGAACTAAAACAGAAATCGAAAACTCACCCATCCCGAAGTACCGACTTTAGTTGAGCGAGCAGTCCAGTTATCCATAGGGTATGTTGGATGTAAGGCTTTTCGAAATGAACCATCATTTGATACAGCGTAAAGATAGCCTTCAGGACCAAAGAATAGGAATTTGAAGTCGTGCCAACCTCCTATGCCGATGCTCGTGGCGCGACCTTCCCAGTTGTCGAGCGCATTTCTTGGTTCGTACGACGTTAGAAACTGATTTCCTGTTGGTCTTACGGCGTACAGGTTTAAATCGGGACCGAAAAACAGAAATTTGAATTTGGCCCAACCTCCAGTGCCAATTTTCGTTGCACGACCAAACCAGTTATCGTTTTCATCTGTAGGTGGAGAACCTTTCCAAAATGTTCCATTTGTAGCAACTGCATACAAGGGACCGCCAGGTCCAAAAAAGAGGAACTTGAAGCTGGCCTAACCTGAATTGCCAGTTGTCGTTGCACGACCAATCCAGTTATCGTATGCATGTGTAGGTGGAGAATCTTTATAAAATTCTCCATTCGTACCAACTGCATACAAGTTACTTGCGCATGTCGATAAGTAACCTGTTGTGAAAGAATGGAGCGTTGAAAGACGTGCAAGAAATACGGATTTTTACGAAATAACATACGACATATAAGTATATTATCAAATCTAGTTCTGCAAACAAGGTATGTACAAGTTTTTACGTTGGGGATTATTCCATTTAGTAGAAAAAATAAGAAAAACATAAAAACAAAAATATGTTTATAATACATTGTTTTTTCAAAACAGAAATTTTACTAATAATAATAAAAATTACCTTTTATACATTCTCGTTCACTCACTGCACCAACATTGATGGTACCTTTACTCTCATTACAGGGAAGACAACGAGTTTGTTTTGGATATGGTTGATATGTATAGATGGGACATTTTTCACATTTCTTACTTTTAAAGGAAAAGAATGAACCAATTGAACAATCTATAAAGACGATTAATGAAAATAAAACGTTGACTGACAATTAAAATTCTACAGTTGATTTATTTATTGTATTCAATGTTTCCTGTCTCATTATGTAAGTTAACTATGAATCAAATGAAAAGTTTAGAAAATTTCAAGAACATTAAAGCAAAAGATTGATCAAGCAAAACACTTCACATTCCAAGAAAACAAATACTTACCAAAAGCATTGCTAGGAATGGCCACCTTTGGTATTGTATCACAGCTTCCTGGAGCAAAAGCAAGATTGTCGATAGCTGCAAAGTTGTAGTAATGCCTCAAAACAGCTTCAACGATTAACTATGAACAAAAAGTAAGTGCTTGGACTAATTGACAAAGTTTAAAGTTGAATAAGTATGTCTAAGTTCCGTACCCTAGATAGACCCATTGTAAAATTAACTGTGACTTGGCCTTTTTTCCACTTAGTTCCTTGATCACCACTTAATGACCACAGTAAAAGATTGTATCCATTGTGATAATATTCTTGGTAGATATTTAATGACCCAGCAGAATAACTGCGATACATGTAATGCGAAAATGAAAAACACACGAGAGAGTCGTTGCGATAAATTCCCGCCAACCAAGTTTTGCCTGTTGAAAGGTCTCTTGTGAAAGCTGAAAGATATTGTCCTACAACACATAAAACAATGCAAGATATATGTAAACTATATATATAAAAAATGCATATTTGTTGATAAGTCATTTATTTAAGATTGCTAGATCAACCATTACATTAATGCTCTTATAGAGATCGATTTATGTTGTTTAAAACACCTTGTACACTAAGATAAGTAAGATCTTTGTGTAATTGTAAAATTTATTTCACCAAGTTTTTTTTTATAAACTTATGAATATAAAATTATCGTTGTTCAGGGGTAGCGCAAGAGGACGATTAGGGGCTGCTACATCACCTCCATCGGGGAACCCTATAATTCTCATGACGGCGAAAATTTGACAGTTTTTCAAGGGTGGACAGGAAATTAAAACTTTCCAATTTCGATTGTTGTTGTTTGTTTGTAGCTTTAACCAGTCAGAGCTTTTGAAAATAAAAAAATTAAGAAAAATTTCTTTCCTCAAAGATACTAGCTTTTTGATTTTGCATAGGGCAGCAGTAAATTTTATTACGTTGAAGCAAACTTCAACGTTTCCTTTTGTTATGCTGCTAGCTACTTTTAGTGCTCTGGCTAAAGATGTTGTATCAATCGTCGTTTTATTTGATACATCAAGATAATTAAGTATATATCACTACGACACCTAAATTTTCTTCAGATATGTTTACGATTAGTATGACCAAAGAACTAATGCTTTGTTCAATAAGAAGTTGAAAGCCTGTAACGTAAGAGAGAAGTTCTAAGTGTTCTCAAATGAGACTTAAAGAATGGCCAATTATGTTGATATTCCCAAGAATGTACAACTTGTTAGTATTCAAGAAGCTACTGTGCTACTAGATCGATACTTATTTCCATAAATATCGATCCTGTACGAGATCACAAAAAACGTTAATGCTAAGTTGAAGAAGAGATTTGATGACAAGAACATTGTCGTGATGAGAGGAAATAGCAATTACTGATTTGTCCCACCGATTTTAAAACATTTATGGGTGAAAAATCTTGCGGTTTTTGCTGATTCATTCAATGGCACAACTACCAATCTCCTCTCTAAAGGTTGCCATGCATATTAAGCACTTGCTATAAAGAACTTAAAAACAATACAGAAAAACAAAACAAACAATAATATTCTTAAAGAAATTAAAAGGAAGCTTTATCTGAGCGTTGACTGTCTGCAGTTTGCTCGTGTGACATGTCATCAACTAAATTCAAAAGGAATTTCAGCTCAGTTCAAAACCAGAGTGGTCATTTTTGAAAACAAAATCTCACTAAACGATCTCCATCTAATTCATTAATAAAGCCTCTCTACTATATAAAAATGAAATCATACCAAAACTAAGGCTGTCGTCATTATAACGTGATGTTCGATATAGTGAACTAAGTCTTCAGTCAAAGTCATCATTGCCCTCCACTTTGCTTCACAGCGTTAGAAAGACTAGAAGCTACATGTAGACTATACATATATACAAAGAATAGAGATATCGTCCTACAACACATGAAGAATTGGAAGATATATGTGGACTTTATATATAAAGAAATATAAAATTATCGTGGTTTAACAAATTCAATAGACAAAATTTTTTAAAAAATCATAATAGCTATAAAATTATCATCTATTTTTGTGTCTTTTAGCTGAATGAAACTACACCTGATTTTAATTTTAGTAAGTATCTATTTTAGTCCAGCAAAAAATTTATGACGTTAGATTTTATTAAGGAGTAACTTACTGATTGACATTTAAAATCTGAGTTGTCATTTAAAGACAAAATCCTAAATACTCTTCATCATTTTTCTTTTTTTAATTCAAGCTGTTGTACATACAACACTTATTCACTATAAACGTTGCCATCTTACCAATACTGAAGCCTGTAGCATCATAGCGTGGTGGGTCATAAAATGATGAGTATGATGTACGAAGTTTCCAGTCAAAGTCATCGTCACCTACGTTGTGCCATGGACATAAAGTAGTTCCCAGTCCCTTTTGAAAATCACATCTTTTGACTCAACAAAAAAGGAATCGAAAGTTAAACAGCCATATTAGTTGTTAAAGAATATAGAAAAAGTCTGAAATGCATTTGTAGGGAGCCAAAACAAACCACACAAGATGATGGGTTTTAACTGTAAAAAATGTTGTGTAAATTGTACACAAAAGTTTCAGTAAAATGTGTATCCACAGTGTCAAAAAAAGTAGTGTACAGAATACATACTACTATTTGTAAATTTACATAATAACAATGTATCAACTGAACACAATATTTTGAGTAAAAGGATGAATTACACATCTTATGGGTAATTGTATTACACAAAATTACTAGTAAATGTACACACAGAGAATGCATTTACAGCAACACAGGTTTTAGAGTAAAATATCTATTAAAACACACTTATAAATATGTATAAAGAGATAGTCCCTTATTGTGTAGAAAATTACATTGATCACTAAGACATGTATACCACTAGACCAAGAATATATTTATAGTTGAAATACTGACTAGCTGACAGCGTCTTGCAGTATATGCAGCGCTAGTAAAAGAAAAGATAACATGTATCGATAATATTTGAGGATTACTGGATTTTTGAGACCTCGTGAAAATATTTTTTCCGTACGGACCTCCCATCCGGTAAATAACATATATTTTATGAGTTGACTTAAAAATTAATTTCCTTACATTTATCACAAATCTTTGTAAAACTTGTCTTAATTGCATAACTCTTCACCTTAACGCACTGCTCTTTATGATTTTGTGTGTAACAATTTACTCAAAAATGAGCAAATTGTTTACTCAAAGAAATATGTGTATTTTCAACACAAAAATTGCTTAAACGATTGAATTACCTGAAATTTTGTATATTTTAGCTCAAAAACGTAAGTTAAGACTTTACCGTATTGTTATGTTGACAGAATTTAAAATTCTGAGTTAAATGAGATGATTTACGCTAATTATTGCGTAAATTTTATGCAAATTTACACAAAATTTTATGCAGTCTATGCAAAATTATGTTTCACAGCAGGTTCAAAAGCTAAAAGCACCAAACTTATGAATATGAAATGATTTTACTTTTTTAATCAATTAACAATTCTTGTTTGTATTTTGTCAACGTTTGCTGAAACTTCAGCAAAAAAACTCGAAATTGTGTAAAAAAATTTCCAGTCTCTGAAGTCGTGGACACACAGATAACTATATGTTCACTAAATCCATCATTAATTTTACCAAACAACTGAATGATAATCCATACAATGTGTAACCGTATTTCCTGTGTCCCAAGTGCAGTGGTCCCGATTTTACAACGGTGATAGCCGGGAGGGCACATTGTTTTACACTTTTTATATATATATAAATATGTAAACATACGCACACTAAGCTTATATAGATTTATCAGCACTGAAGTGACACAATGTCAAAAATTACCTTTTATGCATTCTTGTTCACTTACTGCGCCAACACTGATGGTACCTTTATCATCATTACAGGTAAGACAACGAGTTTGGTTTGTTATCGTTCATATGTAAATATGGGACATTTTTCACATTTCTTACTTTGAAATGAAAAGAATGAACCAATGGAACAATCTATAAAATAGATCAGGGGTCTCCAAACTACGGTCCGCGGGTCAGATGCGGCCCGTTGGGCCTCTCAATCCGGCCCGCAGAGACACTTATGAAAGCCAATTTCCCCACTCACATTGAGAAAACTGAACAGACTAATTGTGATTTTGTTATGATATTACACTTTGTTGAAATTTAACCTTTAAATTTTGAATAAATATTTTCTTAACTAATGAAGCTTGTGTTATGAACTTCGTTTTATTAAAATATTCGCTCTTTGACAAGCAGTATACGGTTCGTCGGCCCTCAGCATGCTGGATGAAAGTCATGTGGCCCTCTGGCTGTAAAGTTTGGAGACCCCTGAAATAGATCATTGAAAACAAATAATCGATTGGCAATTGACAGTTTACAATTGATTTATTTATTGTATTCAATATTTCTTGTGTCATTATGTAATTAACTATGAGCCAAATGAAAAGTTAGAAGATTTCCAAGAACATAAAGACAACAAAAGTGACCAAGCAAACACTACACATTCCAAGAAAACAAATACTTACCAAAAGCATTGTTAGGAATAGCCACCTTTGGTATTGTGTCACAGCTTTCTGGAGCAAAAGCAAGATTGTCGAGAAAGACAAATGTTGTTGCGTAACTACTCGCGACAGCTTCAACGATTAACTATGAAGAAAAAGTAAGGGTCTTAGACAAATTGCTAAAGTTTAATTTTAAGTTGTATAAGTATGTGTAAGTTGCTAACTTTAGATAGACCCATGGTAAAATTAACAGTGACTTGGCCTTTTTTCCACTTAGTTCCTTGATTACCACTTAACGACCACAGTAAGGGATTATATCCATTGTGAAAATATTCTTGGTAGATATTCAATATATTATTATGACTGCGAATATAATACGAAAATGAAAAGCACACGAGAGAGTCGTTGCGATAGTTTCCAACCAACCAAGCTTTGCCTAAAATATCTGATTCCAAACGAAGATATCGTCCTGCAACAAATGAAGAAATATAACATATATGTAGACTATATATATAAAGAATAAAGATATCGTCCTTCAACAAATAAAGAAATGTAAGATATATGTAGACTATTTATATAAAAAATAAAGATATCGTCCTGCAACAAATGAAGAAATATAACATATATGTAGACTATATAAAAAGAGAATGAGTATTTATTGATAACACATTTATCTAAAATTACTTACAAGGTCGCTCATAATAAGATTGATGCTTTTGGCACGCTTTCTGCAGTTAGATACAGCCGTTTTTTTGTGTAGGTATAAAATTTACTTCACCTAGTTTTCTGGCATAAATTTATGAATACAAATATATTGCAGTTTAAAAATTCAATAAAAAAATTCCAAATATAAAAACGAAATTGATTTTAAAACTAATTTTAACTGTAAAGTCTTTAATTATCTAATTTAGACCAAGAAAAATATACGTAACATTAGATTTCATAAACAAGATTTTAATTAAGAATTATAAAATAAGCACATTGAAACGCGTGGGCTGATTGGTCTAAAACTGAGTTAACATTAGCCTGTGCTAAACACATCCGAGCCCAACCAATCAAATCAATCATAACAATAAATCAGCAAAAGAGAATTCGAAAATCAATTATGAATACATTTTAGAGGAAAAATTAAAATTTTTTTTGTCTCGAAATATTGTTATTTTATATAAGAAATGAAAGATGTTTTTCGTGCTTGAACTTGCTTATGCAAACCTAGGAGACGTTTGTGACAACTCTCGAGCAGGTGCAACCCTCGAACTTCGGTCTCGGGCTTGCACTAGTTTGCATAAGCCTTCGAAGTTTGCATAAGCCAGTGCAAACACGAAAAACACTTTTATTTCTTTTGTAAAATAACAATAATGCAAAACAAAAATAACGTTTTAATATTCGTCAACGTGTATTCATTATTGATTTGCAAATTCTTTTTGATGGATTGGTTGATTTGATTGGTTGAGCTCAGATCGTTATTCCCACGCTAATGCAAACACAGCTCTAAACCAATCAGCGCACGCATTACATTGTGTTTATTTTGTAATTATTGATGACAAGCATTTAAAATCTGAGTTGTCATTTTTGAAGACAAAATTTTATTAAATGACCTCTATCATTTTACTTATTGCAGCTTAAGCTGTCAGCTGGTTAAACTGTTCAAAATCTAATGTCTCTTTATTATAAATCACTTCAATCTTACCAAAATTAGAACCAGTAGCGTCATAAATTGAGTTTCTATATCCTAAATATTTTAAATATGCTGCACCAAGTTCCCAGTTTAAGTCATCGTGTCCTTCCACATTGTGCCATGGACAAACAGTTGTTCCCAGTCCTTTTTGAAAATCACAGTTTTCGACTGAATGGGAAAATAATCGAGATTTGAATAGCCATATTAGTTGTTAAAAATAAAGCAGAAGCCTAAAATGTATTTGTATGAAACAAAGACACACCACACAATACAACAGATTTTTAAGCAACGCTATGCTCCACAGCAGTTTAAATGATAAAAGCATCATAAACTTTTAAAAGTAAAAATGATTTTGCTTTTTAAATTATTTATCAATTCTTTTTTGTTGTTTGACAACATTTGTCGAATGTTTAGCAGAAAAACTTGAAATTGTGCTAAAATATTTCCAGTCACCGAAGTCGTGGACACACAGTCATCTTTAATGTGCACCAAATTTATCATGAATTTTACCAAACAACTTATTAACACTAAAGTTTGCAACAAGAATTAAAATTTTTCTACCTGTTTTGCTTGCAAAGCTTTTGGAATTAGTAGACAGTGCAAAAAATCTACCTAGTGTGCGTGTTATTTAAACGATAATAATGGTAATTCTACTCTACAGGGTGTGTCAAAAAACCCTGAAAAGTTTGGAAAACGACACTAAAGTCATTTGGGCATACGATTTGCAAACACGTTTCGTGGAAATAGTCAGCTGGATTTCCAAGGCGTTATCTGAGAGGAAAATTGCCTCAAATAAGAAAAATTTAAAACGTAAAAATTGTGTTACAGAGAAGCTCATTTGAAATAGCTTGCGCATAAAAATCATATAGGTAAAAAGAAATTGGAAGATATAGGGTTACAATATGACGTATGTTTTTAAAGGTAACAAAGTTTTAGCAAATTTTGCTAATGAGTATACGAATGCATAACTTTTAAGTTGCGAATTGCATTGAATTTTTCATTTTTAAATGGAATTTTGATATAGTCGTTATTAGTTATGCATAAATTTGAGGGTAATTAAATCAAATTTGACTAATTCATGAAGGTTTCAAAACATGGCAAATAAAAAAAACGCTAAATAATCTGCAATTTGAATGCCAAGCGTTTGTATAAGGTTATACCTAATTTCCTAAAACTTTGTAACCTTGAACAACATGTACCACATTTTAACCTTTCTCGTTCCAATTGCTTTTTATTCTTTTGATTTTTGAGCAAGAGTTTTTTCAAAAGTATTTTTCGGTAACACAATTTTCCCACGAAATCGTTTTTATTTGCCAAAAGTTTCTGTCAGATGAACCAGTTATTGGAAATCGAACTACCTATTTCACTAAAACATGGAAAAATATTCATAGTATATTAATTTTTCAGCACTGAAGTGACACCTTAAACATTACCTTTTATACATTCTTGTTCACTCACAGCACCAATATTGATGGTACCTTTACCATCATTACAGGTAAGACAACGAGTTTGATTTGTGTACGGCTGGTAAGTAGAATGGGGACATTTGTTACATTTCTTATTTAGAAACGAAAAAAATGAACCATTGGAACAATCTGAAAAGACAGTTTTTGAAAATAAAACGTCGAGTGACAATTGAAAGTTTACAGTTGATTTATTTATTGTATTCAATGTTTTTTGTTACATTATGTAAGTTAACTATAAACCAAATGAAAAGTTTGGAAAATTTTCAAGAGCATGAAAGCAACAAAAGGGATCAAGCAAAACACTTCACATTCCAAGAAAACAAATAATTACCAAAAGAATTCTTAGGAATGGCCACCTTTGGTATTGTGTCACAGCTTCTTGGAGCAAAAGCAAGATTTTTGAGAGCTATAAATTCTATTGTGTATCCACTCACGACAGCTTCAACGATTAACTATGACGAAAAAGTAAGCGATTTGGACAAATTGCCGAAGTTTAATTTTAAGTAGTATAAATATGTGTAAGTTGCCTACCCTAGATAGACCCATTGTAAAATTAACTGTGACTTGGCCTTTTTTCCAATTAGTTCCTTGATCACTACTTAATGACCACAGTAAAAGATTGTATCCATTGTAAAAATATTCTTGGTAAATATTTAATGTTCCAAAATAACTGTGATGCATGTAATACGAAAATGAAAAACACACGAGAGAGTCGTTGCGATAGTTTCCAACCAACCAAGCTTTGCCTGAAATATCTGATCCCAAACGAAGATATCGTCCTATAACACATGAAGAAATGTAAGATATATGTAGACTATATATATAAAGAATAAAAATATCGTCCTACATCACATGAAAAATTGTAAGATATATGCGGACTTTATATATAAAGAAATATAAAATTATCGTAGTTTAACAAATTCAATATACAAAATTTTTTAAAAAACCATAATAGCTATAAAATTATCATCTATTTTTGTGTCTTTTAGCTGAATGAAACTACGTCTGATTTTAATTTTAAGTAAGTATCTATTTTAGATCCAGCAATATATTTATGCCGTTAGATTTTATTAAGAAGTAACTTACTGTTTGACATTTAAAATCTGAGTTGTCATTTAAAGACAAAATCCTAGATACTCTTCATCATTTTTCTTTTTTTAATTCAAGCAGTTGTACATACAACACTTATTCACTATAAACGCTGCCATCTTACCAATACTGAAGCCTGTAGAATCATAGCGTGGTGGTTCATAAAATGATGAGTATGATGTACGAAGTTTCCAGTCAAAGTCATCGTCACCTTTTACGTTGTGCCATGGACATAAACTAGTTCCCAGTCCCTTTTGAAAATCACATCTTTTGACTGAACGAAGAAGAAATCGAAAGTTAAACAGCCATATTAGTTGTTATAGAATATAGGAAAAGTCTGAAATGCATTTGTATGGAATAAAAACACACCACACAAGATAATGGGTTTTTAACTGCAAAAAATGTTATGTAAATTGTACACAAAAATTTCAGTAAAATGTGTATCCACAGTGACACAAACGCTAGTGTATAGACTACATAAAAGTATTGGTAAATTTAATATTTTGAGTGAAAGGATGAATTACACACTTTTGGGAAAATGTATAACATAAAATTGTAGACAAAAAAATATAGAAACAGACAATGCATTTACAGCAACACTTGTTTTAGAGTAAAATTTCTATTAAAACACACTTATAAATAGGTATAAAGAGATAGTCGTTTATTGTGTAGAAAATTACATTGATCAATAAGACATGTATACTACAAGACCAAGCATATATTAATAGTCGTAATACTAACTAGCTGACAGCGTCATGCAGCATATGCGGCGCTAGTCAAAGTAAAGATAACATGCATCGATTGTATTTGTGGATTACTGGATTTTTAAGAACTCGTGAAAATATATTTTCCGTGCAGACATCCCTTCCGGTAAATAACATGCTTTTATCATTTAGACCCCTGTTTTAAATGATAAAAGCATCAAACTTATAAATACACAAATTATTTTACGTTTTTAATCAATCAGCAATTCTTGTTTGTAATTTGGCTACGTTTGCTGAAAGTTCAGCAAAAAAACTCGAAATTGTGTAAAAAAATTTCCAGTCTCAGAAGTCGTCGACACACAAAAATCTTTAATGTTCACTAAATTTATCAAGAATTTCACTAAACAACTTAATGACAAAATTTCTTCCAGCAAGAGTGAAGATCGTTCTATATACTTAATATATTTGTAAAACCCACGGTAACTTTACTATTAAAAATATGTCGAATTGTAGATTATGAATGTTAAAATTGCTTTTTTTAAATGTTATGTGATTGTCTTGGTAACTTTTTCAAGTATTTTGAAGAAAAGATTATATATAAGTCTACTTTATATACTTTTTTAACCTAAATACAAATTTTACTATATGCAATTTAAATGCGATATTTGGGGGTATATTCTGAACTAGCAATTTGTTAAAATATTTCGTAAGCGTGTTATATATAAATAACAACGAAACAAATCCACGCTAATATTTATGATGTTCAATGATTGAAAAATCATATGTAAATAGTTTCAAACTACTGCTCCATAAAATTGTTAAAGAAAATCAACAACATGCACTGTCTTTATTTCTATCGTACCAGAATGCAGCGTTGAAAGACGTGCTAGAAATATGGATTTTACTTTATAGGCATATGAAATATCAGTGCATTATCAACTCTAGCCATGCAAACAAAATATATCTACAAATTTTTACGGATTATTCCTATATTATTAATAGAAAAACAAAGAAATAGCTAAATTATATACAACAAATCGTACCTCTTCCAGGATCACCTAAATATGAACTATCAAAATATCTATGTAACATTCTTTATTCTCTAGTCAAAAGTTCGCCTCACACCATCAAAAACGCCACCACCTTCCTCGTCAACATTGACACCGTTAAACTACAACCAGACACAGACACAGTTATGACATCTTACGACGTGACATTACTCTTCACATCCATACTAGTAGACACAGCCAAAGTAATAAAAACGAACTATTTACAAACGACAAATCTTGGCAAGCCACGACACAACTTGACAAAAATGACATCTTAGACTTACTCAGTCTTTGCCTCTTCACTGAATTCCCCTTACAGAACTCATACCATAGACAAATTTCAGGCACACAAATTGTGTCACCACTATCCACCTTTACCGCAGAAATTATAATGCAACAACTCGAATCACAATCAGTCACCAACAACACAGACATCAGACTGAGGAAAAGATGTGTCGACGACATCTTTGCCATTGTCAAGAAAGACAAAACTGAACAAATCCTACAAACCTTAAACAATACAATAATAAACATAACCTTTACTAAAGATGAAGACATGAAAAACAACTTACTTTTCTCTGTATCCTACTGACTAGAACAGCACACTAAACACACATATTGTGCCGCAAAACGACCCACACAGACCAAATATTTGATTTCAACATCAATCACCCAACACAACACAAAATATGCTGCATACGAACACCTTTTCATCAGAATCAACACTTATTGTAAGGCCGAAAAGACTAAGAAAACAGAACGCAATTACTTATACTCCACATTTATAAAAAACAATTACAATAGAAAATTTATAAACAAAATTATAAACAAAACACAAAACAAAACACAAACCAACAAAAGTAACGAATAACCCGATGAAACAGTAAAAACAATCACATCCATGCATATATAAACGGAACATCAAAATAGACTGCATGACTTCTTCGACCATTCAATATAAACGTCGCAAACAAACCAACACAAAAGACAAATCATATTTTGCCAAACATAAAGACAAAACAACAACAATTCATGATACAACGGACGCAATCTACATGATGCCATTTAAAGATTGCTCAAAACAATACATATAGGACAAAAATCGAAGAAAATCGAAACAAGACTCACAGAACACAAAAACGCCATAAAACGACGAGATCCAAACTCATTAACGACAGAACACACGTTTGCAAATAACGACGCATAGGATTGGACAGAAATTAAAGTACTCGGACGCGCACAGACAAAACACGCACGCAAATTTAAAGACGCTTGGTACAGTAAAGACAACGACACAATGAACAAACATATTGACATACCTATCGTATATATTCACAGCTAAAGAAAAACGACAAAAAATCTACTAACGACACTCAAACCACAGCAACTCACGGTAATAATATATATTATCACAATCCTATTCACAATACACCCAAACCCACAACAACATATTTCACGTCATTCAATCACCTAAATCCACCATTAATAAAATAACTTATCCGGATAAACTTTTATCTTTCTAAAGTACATATATATAAGTTTAAAGAATGGTAATCCAGACATGCTTTATTGTAGTGCATGCCGTTATGTAATCTAGTACCTAATAACCAATTGCATATACAGTAAATAATAAATTATCTGTCAGTTTCCTGAAGATCGCCCTATGGCGTGAAACACCAAGTAGTGACAGCAAAAACTTATCAATATATTAACTATACAATACATTGATTTTTTAATACTGAATTGTAAGTAGCAATGCTGAAAATTACCATATATACATTGTTGTTCAATTATACATGGTTTCAGTTTATCTTTGTTGTTTTAGTATTTTGTCAAAGTGTTTCCTTCATGTGGTTATGTATAGATAACCAAGGTTAAAATCAACGCAAATACTCCCGATGTTCAAAATTACAAAAATCATGAATAAATATTTTTAAAATGCTGCTTCATAAAATTGATAAAGAAAATCAACAACAAGTAGTGTCTTCATTTCTATCGTCACAGAATGGAGCGTTGAAAGACGTGCAAGAAATACGGATTTTTACGAAATAACATACGACATATAAGTATATTATCAAATCTAGTTCTGCAAACAAGGTATGTACAAGTTTTACGTTGGGGATTATTCCATTTAGTAGAAAAAATAAGGAAAACATAAAACAAAAATATGTTTATAATACATTGATTTTTCAAAACAGAAATTTTACTAATAATAATAAAAATTACCTTTTATACATTCTCGTTCACTCACTGCACCAACATTGATGGTACCTTTACTCTCATTACAGGGAAGACAACGAGTTTGTTTTGGATATGGTTGATATGTATAGATGGGACATTTTTCACATTTCTTACTTTTAAAGGAAAAGAATGAACCAATTGAACAATCTATAAAGACGATTAATGAAAATAAAACGTTGACTGACAATTAAAATTCTACAGTTGATTTATTTATTGTATTCAATGTTTCCTGTCTCATTATGTAAGTTAACTATGAACCAAATAAAAAGTTAGAAAATTTCCAAGAACATAAAAACAACAAAAGTGATCAAGCAAAACACTTCACAATCCAGGAAAACAAATACTTACCAAAAGCATTGCCAGGAATGGCCACCTTTGGTATTGTGTCGCAGCTTCCTGAAGCAAAAGCAAGATTGTCGAGAGCTAGAAAGTTTCTAGTGTATTTACGCACGACAGCTTCAACGATTAACTATGAAGAAAAGTAAGCGGCTTGGACAAATTGCTAAAGTTTAATTTTAAGTTGTATAAGTATGTGTAAGTTGCTAACTTTAGATAGACCCATGGTAAAATTAACTGAGACTTGGCCTTTTTTCCACTTAGTTTCTTGATCACCACTTAATGACCACAGGAAGTGACTGTATCCATAGTGAAAATATTCTTGGTAGATATTCAATGTATTATAATGACTGTGAATATAATACGAAAATGAAAAGCACACCAGAGAGTCGTTTCGATAGTTTCCAACCAACCAAGCTTTGCCTGAAATAACTGATCCCAAAAGAAGATATCGTCCTACAACAAATGAAGAAATGTAAGATATATGTAGACTATATATATAAAGAATAAAGATATCGTCCTTCAACAAATGAAGAAATGTAAGATATATGTAGACTATTTATATAAAAAATAAAGATATCGTCCTGCAACAAATGAAGAAATATAACATATATGTAGACTATATAAAAAAAGAATGAGTATTTATTGATAACACATTTATCTAAAATTACTTACAAGGTCGCTCATAATAAGATTGATGCTTTTGGCACGCTTTGTGCAGTTAGATACAGCCGTTTTTTTGTGTAGGTATAAAATTTACTTCACCTAGTTTTCTGGCATAAATTTATGAATACAAATATATTGCAGTTTAAAAATTCAATAAAAAAATTCCAAATATAAAAACGAAATTTATTTTAAAACTAATTTTAACTGTAAAGTCTTTAATTATCTAATTTAGACCAAGCAAAATATACGTAAAATTAGAATTTATAAACAAGGTTTTAATTAAGAATTATCAAATAAGCACATTGAAACGCGTGGGCTGATTGGTCTAGGACTGTGTTAACATTAGCCTGTGCTAAACACATCCGAGCCCAACCAATCAAATCAATCATAACAAAAATCAGCGAAAGAGAATTCGAAAATCAATTATGAATACATTTTAAAGAAAAAATTAAAATGTTTTTTTTTGTCTCGAATTATTGTTATTTTATATAAGAAATGAAAGATGTTTTTCGTGCTTGAACTTGCTTATGCAAACCTAGGAGACGTTTGTGAGAACTCTCGAGCAGGTGCAACCCTCGAACTTCGGTCTCGGGCTTGCACTAGTTTGCATAAACCATCGAAGTTTGCATAAGCCAGTGCAAACACGAAAAAACACTTTTATTTCTTTTGTAAAATAACAATAATGCAAAACAAAAATAACGTTTTAATATTCGTCAACGTGTATTCATTATTGATTTGCAAATTCTTTTTGATGGATTGGTTGATTTGATTGGTTGAGCTCAGATAGTTATTCCCACGCTAATGCAAACACAGCTCTAAACCAATCAGCGCACGCATTACATTGTGTTTATTTTGTAATTATTGATGACAAGCATTTAAAATCTGAGTTGTCATTTTTGAAGAAAAAATTTTATTAAATGTCCTCTATCATTTTACTTATTGCAGCTTAAGCTGTCAGCTGGTTAAACTGTTCAAAATCTAATGTCTTTTTATTATAAATCACTTCAATCTTACCAAAATTAGAACCAGTAGCGTCATAAATTGGGCTTCTATACATTCTATGTTTTACATATGCAGTACCAAGTTCCCAGTTTAAGTCATCGTCTACTTCCACATTGCGCCATGGACAAACAGTTGTTCCCAGTCCTTTTTGAAAATCACAGTTTTCGACTGAATGGGAAAAAAATCGAGATTTGAATAGCCATATTAGTTGTTAAAAATAAAGCAGAAGCCTAAAATGCATTTGTATGAAACAAAAACACACCACACAATACAACAGATTTTTAAGCAACGCTATGCTCCACAGCAGTTTAAATGATAAAAGCATCATAAACTTTTAAAGGTAAAAATTATTTTGCTTTTTAAATTATTTATCAATTCTTCTTTGTTGTTTGACAACATTTGTCGAATGTTTAGCAAAAAAACTTGAAATTGTGCTAAAAGATTTCCAGTCACCGAAGTCGTGGACACACAGACATTTTTAATGTGCACTAAATTTATCATGAATTTTACCAAACAACTTATTAACAGTTAAGTATGCAACAAGAATTAAAATTCTTCTACCTGTTTTGCTTGCAAAGCTTTTGGAATTAGTAGGCAGTGCAAAAAATCTACCTAGTGTGCGTGTTATTTAAACGATAATAATGGTAATACTACTCTACAGGGTGTGTCAAAAAACCCTGAAAAGTTTGGAAAACGACACTAAAGTCATTTGGGCATACGATTTGCAAACACGTTTCGTGGAAATAGTCAGCTGGATTTCCAAGGCGTTATTTGAGAGGAAAATTGCCTCAAATAAGAAAAATTTAAAACGTAAAATTGTGTTACAGAGAAGCTCATTTGAAATAGCTTGCGCATAAAAATCATATAGGTAAAAAGAAATTGGAAGATATAGGGTTACAATATGACGTATGTTTTTAAAGGTAACAAAGTTTTAGGAAATTTTGCTAATGAGTATGCGAATGCATAACTTTTAAGTTGCGAATTGCTTTGAATTTTTCATTTTTAAATGGAATTTTGATATAGTCGTTATTAGTTATGCATAAATTTGAGGGTAAATTAAATCAAATATGACTAATTCATGAAGGTTTCAAAACATGGCAAATAAAAAAAACGCTAAATAATCTGCAATTTGAATGCCAAGTGTTTGTATAAGGTTATACCTAATTTCCTAAAACTTTGTAACCTTGAACAACATGTACCATATTTTAACCTTTCTTGTTCCAATTGCTTTTATTCTTTTGATTTTTGAGCAAGAGTTTTTCAAAAGTATTTTCGGTAACACAATTCTCCCACGAAATCGTTTTTATTTGCCAAAAGTTTCTGTCAGATGAACCAGTTATTGGAAGTCGAACTACCTATTTCACTAAAGGCTTTTGAAGATCTTGCGCTGATGAATTTAGAGAGGTTTTTCTGCTTGTTCAATTTTTTATATATAAACCCTGTATAAACAACATGCAAATTATGAACGTTAAAACCTTTTTATATGGAATGTAAGCTATTGGCCTGTCTTTGTAACTTTTACGTTATAGGAATTTTGAAAAAGCAGCATTACGTTTATTTTATCAACTCTCTTGTTTTAACCTCAATACAAATTTTACGATGCAATTTAACAGCGATGTATTTGGTAGTATATTAGAATTATTGTTATTTCAGAAGTTAGAGAAAGTGATGTTATTTTTATTTTATTTATATAGTGCCGTGCTTTTCCAACTTTTGAATTGCTTTCAGAAGAATATTTGTTCGAACCTCATTCTGGTGAGAGCTACTCACGTGATGAATTAAAATAAAAATAAGTGGTTAAACGAGACATAGCCTGCGTATAAGCTACTGACGCAACTCTTCTCTTTGTAGTAAGGCATTCAGCATTGCTTATGTTAACAGGTAAATGTTCATGTTCCAATATAGTTAAGGCCTTTCGAAAAAGGTTGAGATAAACAAACGAAAGAGCTGGAAATGAGACTAAGATTCATGTGAAGCTTTTATTGGATTTATTCAAAGGAGGAAAGCATTGATTTTGCTGTCTGTTTCAAGGTTTGCGCTTCTCTTTGAGCTCCTTGCGAAGCCCTTGAACCACAAACTTACATTTGTAATCAAAACAAATATTTCTTGATATTCAATAATTGAAAAAATCATAAGAAAATATTTTCAAACTACTGATTTATAAAATAGATAAACAAAATCAACAACACGCCTTGTCTTCACTTCTATTGTACGGAATGGAGTATCGAAAGACTTGCCAAAAGTACAAATTTTTACAAATTAACATATGAAATATCAGTACATTATCAAATCTAGCCGTGCAAGCAAGGTATATACAACTTTTTACATTATGCTTTTTAATATAAAAACCAAGGAAAAGTGGAAAAATATTCATAGTATATTAATATTTCAGCACTGAAGTGACACCTTAAAAATTACCTTTTATACATTCTTGTTCACACACAGCACCAATATTGATGGTACCTTTACCATCATTACAGGTAAGACAACGAGTTTGATTTGTGTACGGCTGGTAAGTAGAACTGGGACATTTGTTACATTTCTTATTTAGAAACGAGAAAAATGAACCATTGGAACAATCTGAAAAGACAATTTTTGAAAATAAAACGTCGATTGACAATTGAAAGTTTACAGTTGATTTATTTATTGTATTCAATGTTTTTTGTTCCATTATGTAAGTTAACTATGAACCAAATAAAAAGTTAGAAAATTTCCAAGAACATAAAAACAACAAAAGTGATCAAGCAAAACACTTCACATTCCAAGAAAACAAATACTTACCAAAAGCATTGTTAGGAGTAGCCACCTTTGGTATTGTGTCACAGCTTCCTGGAGCAAAAGCAAGTTTGTCGAGAGCTACAAAGTTTGTTGTGTATCCACGCGCGACAGCTTCAACGATTAACTATGAAGAAAACGTAAGCGGCTTGGACAAATTGCCGAAGTTTATTTTTAAGTTGTATAAATATGTGTAAGTTGCCTACCCTAGATAGACCCATGGTAAAATTAACTGTGACTTGGCCTTTTTTCCAATTAGTTCCTTGATTACCACTTAATGACCACAATAAAAGATTGTATCCATTATGAAAATATTCTTGGTAGATATTCAATATCTCATAATGACTGCGAATATAATACGAAAATGAAAAGCACACGAGAGAGTCGTTTCGATAGTTTCCAACTAACCAAGCTTTGCCTGGAATAACTGATCCCAAACGAAGATATCGTCCTACAACAAATGAAGAAATGTAAGATATATGTAGACTATATATATAAAGAATAAAAATATCGTTCTACAACACGTGAAGAATTGTAAGATATATGCGGACTTTATATATAAAGAAATATAAAATTATCGTGGTTTAACAAATTCAATAAACAAAATTTTTTAAAAAACCATAATAGCTATAAAATTATCATCTATTTTTGTGTCTTTTAGCTGAATGAAACTACATCTGATTTTAATTT